CAATATCTGAAAGGGATTGTATGCTCAATATCTGAAAGGGATTGTATGCCCAATATCTGAAAGGGATTGTATGCCCAATATTTGAAAGGGATTGTATGCTCAATATATGAAAGGGATTGTATGCTCAATATATGAAAGGGATTGTATGCCGAATATCTGAAAGGGATTGTATGCCGAAAATCTGAAAGGGATTATATGCTCAATATCTTTTCAAGGAATGTTGTGTCAAATAATTGCTTTCATTTCCAGAAGTTATTTTAAATGGTCTAATTAATTGCTAACTATTATAATTAGAAATTTGATATTTTGGGTTCTAAAATACAATGTGTCCCAATAAACATTAGAGTTAACTGACGACTTTTAACTGGTCTATGCTTAGCCACCATAGTCGTACAGTACAGTACTGTACTGTACTGCCCCCCTTTACGTTCATTTGAGATTAACAATATAAAAATATTTAAATCTTATATTTATGTACATTTTCGTCAGCTTTTCAGGTATACCCAAGGAATACCACATAAAACGTATAACCACGCACTTATTGACCTTCATTCAGAATTGAAAATCTAATAAGACATTCATTTCGTCCCTTTATTTCCATTTTTATTTGTACTCCCTCTTTAAGAAGCTTTATTTCGAAAATTTTTTAAAATGAACTTAAATGTATCATGAAATATGCATAGTTTAACTGCATCAGTCAGCATTGCATTTAACTAGATGAATTGGATGCAAATTTTGACAAAATAATTGACTGAAAATGTACCCTAATTAAGTGTTTTGAAGAATGTATTCAGGGGTCCTAGTAGGCCAAAAAATAGTTTATATTTGGTAAACCATCAAACTACTCAATTGAATGCAGAAACCAAAAATCAAGCTTCAAATCAACATATTTTTGGGTCGTCTTTTCAGTCTCATCCTTTGTGGATAATCCTGTATATATTCTTTGAGATATGCTATAAATGTGAATTGCCCGAAAACAAAAATTATAAAGTCCCAAAAATAAAAAGTGGCAACGTGGTAGAGGTAAAATGAAACATAAATGACCCCAATTTTCATTTTTGGACAGTTAACATCTGGAGGCTGGGGTATGGACCCCCACGAAAAAATATTAATCTCTTGATATAAATAAGGTTTTCTCATTTTATATTTAGATAAATAATACAACTGAAGTCCCATACCTTCAGTCCTCTAAACTCGGTGACTCTGTTTTTTTTTTGAGAATCTCCCTAAAGTGTTTAGTGTTATTATACAGGCCAAGGCGCAACTATCTATTTGTGATGGGAGGGGATTTTGTCGAACCAATTCTATTTGTGTAATAACACGTTTGATTTGTTACATCTAGGTTATCTCTGACGGTGGTAAGCCGAAACTGGAGGTGGAGTACAAGGGGGAGAAAAAGAGCTTCTTCCCCGAGGAGGTGTCCTCCATGGTGCTGGTCAAGATGAAGGAAACGGCGGAGGCGTATCTCGGCGGAACTGTCAACAACGCCGTTATCACTGTCCCAGCCTACTTTAACGACTCACAGAGACAAGCAACTAAGGTACAATTCGTAATACATCACAGTGATCCAAACTGTGCACACACAAATCTGTCAGTATTTTGCTTATTACTTCTTTTAAACTCAGGCTAGAAACGAGCTTGTTGTAGTTCTAAAATGAACATGTATAGGGCTACAAAAACGTATAAATCAAAGCAAAATGTCAAGACGTTGCACACTTGAATTTCAACCCAATCTTCTAAGATGATGCACAATTTGTATGCCGGCCTGTAATTCTGTGATATTATAAAATAAAAAACCTAAACGTAAGAAAATTTGTCACTAGCTACCAATTTTACATATTTTTACATTTACTTCAAGCTAAATTCTACATTTCTTATTCTAAAACTTGTTTATCGTCCAAAAATACAGATTTAAAAATAAGTTTCATTAAATTATTTTGTTACAAATCATAGATAAATTATTTTCAAGGGTTAAATATAAGGTAATACTTACCTACAGGCTACAGCTGCAACTAATTAATCGCCACGAGTCTAATTATCTAACCCAAGTACATCTGTTCAACATGATGTCGCAAACCTTTGAGATGTCAAACTATCCATTTTGTTAGTTTAAATAGTCAAAGTTGAAATTAAATATTAAAGGTTTACAATTTAGGACGCCGGAGTGATTTCTGGATTGAATGTACTCAGAATCATCAACGAACCTACTGCAGCTGCTATAGCCTACGGACTAGATAAGAAGGTTACCGGAGAAAAGCATGTTCTTATCTACGACCTTGGAGGAGGAACCTTTGATGTTTCCATCCTAACCATCGAGGACGGTATCTTCGAGGTTAAATCCACCAGTGGAGATACGCATCTAGGTGGAGAGGATTTTGATAACAGGATGGTTAATCATTTTACAACTGAATTCAAGAGAAAGCATAAGAAGGATATTAGTGATAATAAGCGAGCTATCAGACGTCTACGCACAGCATGTGAACGAGCTAAGAGAACTCTGTCCGCCTCTTCTCAAGCTAATATTGAGATTGATTCTCTCTTTGAAGGAATTGATTTCTATACTAGCATTACTAGAGCTAGGTTTGAAGAACTCAATGCAGATCTGTTCAGAGGTACAATGGATCCTGTAGAGAAATCTCTGAGAGATGCAAAGATGGATAAATCTGATATCCATGAGATAGTGCTTGTTGGGGGTTCTACCAGAATACCTAAGATTCAGAAGCTTTTGCAAGATTTCTTCAGTGGGAAAGAGTTGAACAAATCAATCAACCCTGATGAAGCAGTGGCATATGGAGCTGCTGTTCAAGCTGCTATTCTCTCCGGAGATAAGTCGGAAGAAGTACAAGACCTGCTTCTTCTTGACGTCTCTCCTCTTTCTCTGGGTATAGAAACTGCTGGAGGTGTTATGACCTCCTTGATCAAGAGAAACACCACCATCCCAACCAAACAAACTCAAACCTTCACAACCTACAGTGATAATCAACCTGGAGTGCTTATACAAGTATATGAGGGGGAACGAGCAATGACTAAGGACAACAATCTGCTGGGGAAGTTTGAGTTGACCGGTATTCCTCCAGCTCCCCGGGGAGTTCCACAGATTGAGGTCACATTTGACATTGATGCCAACGGAATCCTCAATGTCTCTGCCATGGATAAATCTACAGGAAAAGAGAATAAGATCACAATCACTAATGACAAAGGAAGACTGTCTAAGGAGGATATTGAAAAGATGGTGAATGATGCTGAGGCCTACAAAGCTGAAGACGATAAGCAAAGAGAGAGGATTGGAGCAAAGAATAATCTAGAAAGCTACTGCTTCAATATGAAATCAACCCTAGAGGAGGATAAGGTGAAGGATAAAATCCCTGCCTCGGATTGCAAGCTGATTAATGACAAGTGTGATGACACTATCAAGTGGTTGGATGCTAACCAGACAGCTGAGAAGGATGAGTTTGAAGATAAACAGAAGGAGCTGGAGCAAATCTTTAATCCTATTATTCAGAAACTGTATGGAGGAGCAGGGGGAGCAGGAGGAGCTGGAGCTGCAGGAGCAGGAGGAGCTACTGGAGCAGGAGGGGCTGGACCAACCATCGAGGAGGTTGATTAAATCATATTGATTAATCTACTGCGGCTGGCGTTTTTATCAATAAAATAATGACGACTTTCTATTGCAGTACTTTTTCCAACAAACTTAAAAATAAAGTCTTCATAGCTTTATATTGATAAAAATACCAATTACTGTAGGTTTGTAAAAACTAATTTATATAGTTGAAATAAACCTATTTTCAAAAAATTATGTGGAATTTGAAAGGTTAAAAAAACTTTTTGTTGACAATATAACAATTTACAATTTATTCTGTTGTGTTCTAACTTTAAAGTTTTTAAAGATGAAAGAATATTAATCTTTAATTTAAAAAATGCAATGAAGAATTCATGCTCTTTTTCTTTCTAAAACTTTTCGGAAAATTATGCAGGATATCTCCCCAGGTGCAAAAAGTCCACTGTAAAATCTTCAAGGTCCTGAAAGTTGTGAGAAAGTTTCTGGATAAAATATAATCAAGTTAAAACGTATCTTATAACTAATCTTGTGAAAGGATATTTGAGCAAGCTATTATCCCTAGCAACTAGTTTTAATAGGGTTATACAGGGGTAATAGGACGAGGGGGGGTGATGGGAGGATCATAGGGCTGGGCACGTTTTTTATTTTAGAAATCTTGAGTTCCACGCTCGTTCCTATTCAAATTGTCCCGTTCCAAACATTTTTGTTCTTTTTTATTATCGAAAATCCATGTATTTTACCATTCGTTAATGTTTTAATCCATCGATGGTTGAGCGTGATAATTAACCGTTAACAATGCACGATTTCGATCGTTAACATATTACGTTCGTTAACGAGATAAAATCGTTTATTTCATACAAACCCGTTCAACGGTTCCTCGTGCATTGATTAATGGTTGTTCCAGTTTCTACGTTCTGCGTTCAATAGTTTATTCGAACTATGTTGTCATTAACATGGAATTCTGTTAGTTTATTGAAGGTTCCCCACTAACAGCACCCAGCTCTAGGAAATGAATAGGGACTAGGAAGAACGGAAATTGAGAAAATGGAAAGGAGAAAAGAGAAGATTAGAGTGGAAAGAAAAAGAAAAGAAGTAATTTATGGAAAAAGAGGACCCAGAAGGAGAAAAAAATCCAGTATAAGTATGTATAATCTACTTCGAAATCCAAAGATTAGATTTGCTGAAAAATTAACTTGTGAACGCCTTGGTTCTTCATAAATTAAGGTAATAGTAATTTAAGTCGACTCTGTTTATATAAAATAGATATGTACTTCGGCGTCATCATTATACAATACCTTTATCTCTTCAATAACTTAGAAGATGATTTGTTGTTGCTTTAGGTTTAAATGTATCATTTACTCTCAGACAAATTAGAATCAATGGAACCCAACGGTTTATCATTGAATCCCGAGGGGGTTTTAATTTCCATTGATTCTAGTTTGTTTGAGAGTAAATGGCATTCCTTTGTAAAAAATAACAAAATATTTTTATTATTTATTATTATTTTTTAAAAGTGGCGGGATTAAACGAAAATTGTTGCATACCAAAAAACCAGCTTTTTATAAGGGAATGACGATTTTGCAGATTCAGACACACTAATTCAATCTTAAGATAATTACATACAAAGTTTTAAGAATATATTTTGAAAATATTATAAATCTTTAAAAAGTTTATTTGGAGTGTTTTGGGGGTTTTCTTTACATGATACCGCTAAAGAAGGATCAAAAGGATTTAAGGACCTTTGGATAAAACCTGAAATAATATCAGGGAGGAAAACTTCCATGGCTTTTGTATTTTTTCATGTTTATTTTTCATGTATTTTTCATATTTTATATTTTGTCATTTTCAGCAAGATTTTGGAAAGATTTAATAAAACAACATTTATAACTATTGCTTGTACAGTGTACTGCATTTAACATATAGACTTTTTTTTAAGTGGCAAAGTCTTTTTCATTTTATAAATGGTTACTCACAAAGTATGAGACTTCAGAGACGTCTATACGGAATCTATGCTGTCATTTTTTATATACAAGATTCTCTACAACTGTAATTTTGTTTCTTTCTTTGTCAAATAATTACCTAAACCACTAAAACCTACGTTCAAGGCAGAAAGCTTAATTTAGCCTTCGGATCTTAATACTTTAAAATTTTAAGTCGTCTTTACAGTCTCATTCTTTGTGGGTAACCTTGTATGTATATAAGATTGAACTTTACAAACAAAGGCCGTTGAGGCAAACAATTAAATAGATTTAAAAAAACACATACTAACTATTTATAACACTGTTATTTTGGTTCGCAGTGTGTAAAGTTTTTGGACACAAGCTTGAAAAATATTCTTAAAGGGGTTGTCTGGCTAAACGTGGTAGTTTAGCTGAGGATGTAGTAGTGTAGAGACATTTTTTTTAGAAATCATTACGGGGTAAAACAAAAACAATTTGTTTTGTTCTTATTCACTCAGTGCACTGAGACACAAAAGTTACAATTCGTGAAGACGAAGGGAAGATGTTGGAAGATGAATATTGAAGATGAATGGACTTTGAAGATGAATGAAGGTGGATGGAATTAGAAGATTAATTTTGACGATGGATGAAGTTTGAAGATGAATCTTGAAGAAGAATGAAGTTGGAAGATGAATATTTAAGATGGATGGAGTTGGAAGATGAATGTTGAAGACGTATGGAGTTGGAAGATGCATATTGAAGATGGATGGAGTTGGACGATGAATATTGAAGGTGGATGGAGTTTGAAGGTGGATGGAGTTTGAAGATGAATGAAGGTGGATGGAATTAGAAGATTAATTTTGACGATGGATGAAGTTTGAAGATGAATCTTGAAGAAGAATGAAGTTAGAATATGAATATGGAAGATGGATGGAGTTGGAAGATGAATACTGAATATAGATGGAGTTGGAAGATAAATATTGAAGATAGATAGGGTTGGAAAATGAATATTGGTGATGATTGGAGATGGAAGATGAAGATTGAAGGTGGATGGAGTTGGAAGATGAATATACGTTAATATAGTTTGAAGATGAATTTTGACGATGAATGGAGTTTGAAGAAGAATATTGAAGACGAATGGAGTTGAAAGATGAATATTTAAGATGGATGGAGTTTGAAGGTGAATATTGAAGACGAATCGAGTTGAAAGATGAATATTGAAGATGGATGGAGTTGGAAGAAGAATATTAAAGGTGGATGGAGTAGGAAGATGGATGAATGGAGTTGGAAGATGAATATTATTTCAGTCGTCTAGGGATCTAAAATTTATAAAATTTTAATGAAAAAAAAAACAAAATTAAATATTGAATTGAAATTACTGCTCAAGAATTAATTTGGTCAGGAAAATTGTATGTGTATCTCATTGATAAATAAATCATCTCAAGGTGAATATTTTGGCTGTGTTTTCAGTTAATTCTGTGATTGACATAGTTGATTCAGTAATTGACATACTTGATTCAGTAATTGACATACTTGATTCAGTGATTGACATTAATTCAGTGATTGGCATACTTGATTTAGTGATTGACTCACTTGATTCAGTGATTGGCAAACTTGATTTAGTGATTGACATACTTGATTCAGTGATTGGAATACGGATTCAGTGATTGATTTACTGATACAGTGATTGAGATACATTATTTAAATTATTGATTGGCAGACTGGATTTAGTGAGTGACAAACCTGTTTCAATAAGTGACATACCTGATTCAATGATTGACATACTGGATTCTGTGAAAGACATACTTAATTCAGTAATTGACTGATCATGAATTAGTTAGTGGTGACATACTTGATAAGTGAAGGGCAGACTTTGTTAAAGGATTGTCAGTACTGATTCAGATAGTGACATAGTTTATTTAACAATTGAATGAGAAACTTGATTCAGTTAATGAGTGATCATCTACCTGACAGAAGTGAGTGATCTTGAAGTAGGTGTGAGTGGAAGGGATTGAGTTGTGTCGAGAATAGGTTTATACTTCGTTGGAACAGGTCCAAGAGGAGCAATAGGTCCCCAAGGTCTTTGGGGACCTCGAGATCGAGGAGGTTCTTGACCTCCTTGATATCCATCAGATCCATGCGCTCCATCAGGACCTTGTGGTTCATCAGGTTCATCAAGTCCATGAGGTCTGTGAATAATTGATGAAAACTCAGATCTGTTCATCTCAAACCATAAATGAAAGTTAAAGACTGCATTACAATTCTTTCAATCGTCATTTCAATTGTCTTCAAACTAAAATCCACGTTACAGAGGTTGTTTAAGAACTTCACATTTTTGAAATCAGAAATGCAACATAGTCTATTAGATATTTACTTTAATTTACATGGTTACCCACACAGGATAAGACTCCAAAGACGACTGTACGTATTTTAAAGTCCTTTTTCAACAAGGTTCCCTGCCAGCCAAAACTTTCTGCTCTAGCGTCTTCTTAGTCGTTAAACATTGAAATACTAAATTCAAGGCAGAAATCCTAAATCCAGATCCTAATTTATTTTATTTTATAGTTTCCTTAATTTTGGGGAGTTAGAGATCACAAACAGATTGTCAGGACCCTGTCATCCGTGCTCTTCCTCCTATTTATATTCAGGGTGTCCCAAAAAACGCTCTTTTAGACATTTTACTAGTCACCATGGTTCTATTTTTTAAATATTTGAAATTGTTGATCATGATCTCAATTAAAGGTATGTAGCACAAAAATGAAAGTAGTAAGAACAGTTTGAAATTTGACATTTTGGCTTGTTGAGTTTATGAATTTGAAAAGAACTTGAATATGGAGTTTCATTAAGGCCTGAAATTTTAAAAAGTTAAGAGTTAAAAAATACTCAGTTATTATTAAAGAATGGCAAAACCTTTATAGTTTACAATGCAGGGAAGAATAACTATTTATAACCCTACTGGTTGAAGGGAGGCGAGGTATAAAGTATTTGAGCCAAAAACTTTTCTTTTTTGAGAAGGTTCAAGAACTCTCGAGAAAAAGAAATGTTTTTGGCCCCCTTCAACTAGTACGGTTTTAGATAATTTCATGCCCTGGAAAAAAAGAAATATGAATTCAAATGTTAACACTATCAAAATGAATAAATACAGAAAAATGGCACGTCAATTATATGTGTGAGCTGAACAAAAGGAAAAGTTACTCGAAGCGGGATGTACTTAAGCAAAGGATAGGTAACTCGAAGAATGACAAATCCAAAGGCAATTAGGTTAGGGAAACACTCTCTTCTACCAGACACACATAGATGAGAACTTCTTGAAAATGTTTATTCAGTAACGAAGTTTCCTACAAAATACAAATTGTTATTGGCGTACATGCATGTAAATAATAATTGTTAATAAATGGGTATTGTTGTGAATCGAACAATTGGTTTGGAAACATGTACCATTGAGAATTGAACAAAGACTTAAAAGGTATAGGAATTCTAGGTTTTGTAGGTTTAGCAGGTTTAGGAAACTCTAGGTTTAGCAGGTTTAGCATTCATATTTTATTACTGTTGCGTATCGATAAATAAAGGGTTTAGAAAGGCACTGTTGTATACCAATAATAATTGTTAATAAAATGTAACTATTTGATTGACGAACAAATGTGAATAATAATTGTTAATAAATGTAACTATTTTATTACAACTAATTAAATGTTTATTGAAACTGATAAATAGGAATTTTAAAGGAAAGGTTCTGTTGTGAATCGACCAAGAAATATTTTAAGGTACCGATGGGAATTAATAAATGAAATATTTTAAATGGGTACTATTGTGAATCAAACATGGACTTACGATCTAGAAAACTGTGGTACGGCGAAAAGTTGTTTGTACTGAAGTCTAAAGCAATTTAATTCTTCTGAAATGAATTTATATGTAAATGATTCACTGAAAATTGTGTTTAAATAGGTTCTTTTTAATGCACTTTAAGTTTTACTAGATCCATGAGGTTATTTATGTAAAATCCTTGGCAAGGTTTGGTTTGGCGGATGGCCGGAGTACGGAGTATTCAACGGAGATACAATCTGTCGGAGACGACCTTTGAAACAGGGTTACATTAGGGATATGGTTCACAATATGACATCTAATATAAAGTTTAAACTTTTAAAAAGTACATATTAAAGAAAATCCCAAATATTAATGCTGGAAGATGATCATTCAAAAGAATGCGGGAACTTCATAGCAAAAATGCGAAAATATTGAAAGGTGTGCTCCGCTGGGGTGATATTTTACATTTAAACCATAGATAAAGATAGATTGCGCATAAGACGACATTTTTCATCTTGAAAGATATAAATGTACAGAGATTTTTTAAAGATATTCCTATTATATAGATTACCTAGGTCGGTTGTGAACATTGGCTGTTCTTATGTCATTGAGTACTTGTGGTGTACATGAGTTCTGTAGAAAGAAATTTAGGTTAGTTTGGTCCTTCTCATGCATATCCTTCTTCAGTTCTCGTCAAGATGATAGTGAAATATTGTTGTTCAAATAGTTCCATTCCCGGAGTTATTTTACACTCTATTATGAAATCCATTAAAACACCAAACCACTCCGCTTATCATTGAAGTACACTTTGACCCCTAGAAGTATGAGTTCGCGGACTGTACAATTCTTGGTGATTTTGCATACATAAGCTATCTATGTTTATTTATTTATCTATGATTTAAACCCATAAGAAAATAGTGAAAATTTTACCCCAGCTCAGCTGGGAATATGTGGGTTTTAGGATATGTTCACCATAGATTAAGAAGAGGCCAACCAAGGCATAAATTTTCTTGCTGAGTTTCACAGTCAATCATAATTTTAGCTATCATTACATCAATATTCTTAATCATTTTTGTGTTATTGTTAACCCATATTATAAACTATTGAAATAAAATGTTAATGCAATGATGAATTTTTCTTTTACTTATAACAATGACAATATGAATTTTTAACCAAGCCAAAAGTGAAATTTCAAACTGTTTTTAATTTTTTAATTTTTGTGCTACATGCCTCTATAAATGTCAAACATTTTAAAAATTTGACTATGCTGAGTGCTGCAATGTCTAAAAGTGCGAATTCTTTGGGACACCCTGTAGGTTTTCAGTATTTATTTACTTACTAAGTGGATATAAGCATCAGAGACAATGAATTTAATAAAGTTATTTTTTTAGAGCACAAAATCAAAGATGTTTTCCTTAAAAAAGATTTAATTGTGAATCGCACATGTATATTCGCTTTAAATTTAGAGTCACTTGAAATTTAAGGTAAAGGACCCTTCAGTCAACTGGTATAACAATTGATAATATGTTTTAATTTCCCTCTTCCTTTCTTTTAAACCTGATATTTCATCATTGTACTTGCTTGAACTCTGGTTACATAAACTGCAGTAGACTCGGCCGCCTGGAAAATAATATTTGATGAAAACAAAAACAAAAAATAATGAAAGGGTGTTAAAACAACTCTCACACTATTTTCAGTTCCATACTCAAGAGACAAAGAGGATTCGATAATTTTTTTACCACATTATAGTCCTAACATCCTACAGATATTGTGATATTAATGATCAGGTAAAAATTAAGCTTCTGAGAGTAAAAATGTGTGAAGTTTTTTATTAAAGCACCCTTTATATTATAAAAAATGTTGAATAAACACATTTTATGAATTGTAGATCTTCAAGTCGTCTTTCTTCCGTCAGGTAAATCATAAATTAACAACAATACAAATAGAATACTAGCTGTCGTCTTTTCAAGATTTTGGGGGGTTTTCGTTCACAATAACTCTAAGACAAAGGCCCAAAGAAGCATACGCGTAACTCCTTTGGGCTTCTGCCTCAGAATTATTGTGAACAAAAAGCCCCTAAATCTTGAAAAGACGACATCTAGTGTTTAACATGTATTGTTAATGATCTATATGCTGTAACATAATGCCATATCAATTATACTGATTTGAAAGCTAATAATCAGAGAGAAAGTGAACACTATAAGTCACAAAAACTATAATTTTCTTATTCATCTTTGTAATCAATTATGTTGTTACCTCTTGAAATTTCCAACTTTAATAGTTGATTCGTAGTTTGAAATATCAAAGGTTCACAACATCAGGTTGCAAAGTTAAGGGTTAGAAAAATATAAAATGTTGCGAATATTTTCAGTTCCTTCAATCCGGGTTGCATTTACATCCATGGTGAATTGTTTACCATGTTTGCTTCCTGATTGAGTTCTATATCCTGAGGTATATCTGGAGAAGGAAGACAAGGATCCAACCCAAACCTTCCCAGTAGTTTGTTCAACCTGGAGATTAGGCTCCATAATACAGACAAGATCCATTCCTTAACAAACATACAGTGATAACCAGAAAACAATGGAATAGAAAGACGACATTATAGCAATATGTAAATGTATCTGATGTTGTTACAAAGCAGATAGTTTTACTAGACATTTATTAAATCATTGATTTAAAGAAATAGGTCTGTTTATAGTGCGCACAATTAATGTGTCTTGTGCCCATTGGACTTTTAAAATCATAACTTGATTCTGAAAGTCGTCTTCCTATGTTAGAGTTTTCTGGTTCTCACTGTAGAGTATTTATAAACTATAAACAATAAAAGAAAACTTAAAACTTCATCAATGCATAATTCATAATTGCGACATATATTTTGCCCCTTCCATAGATAGTGTTATTTCTCTATACGAATTACGGATTAATCAAAAATCAAAAATTAAAAATGTTCTGCAGTGCAAGAACCAGAAAATTGTGGGTTGAATGTCGTCTTTGGATTGTTGCAACTGATCTCTACAGATGTTCAGGGTGCTTTCCAGACATATACAGTGGTAGGCGATTATTTTGATACAATGAAGACGACTTTTTATTTTCGTTTTGTTTTCGAACTACAAGTTTACGGGTAGTCAAAGCGAAGTTTTTATTTATTGACAGCTTCTCTTGACTTAACTATGTCTATATGATCCATACTGTTTAGCAGCTTGAATAATATAAATCAAAATTGAAATTTAAAGTCGTATTTATTTTATTGATATAATCACCTACCACTATACCTCAGTTGCAAATCCAGCGACATTTCATAGAAGACGAATATAATTACATTGTTTCCTGGTTCTCCTTGTAGGAAAAAGAGACACATGAAAAATAAACCTACATGGGTGTCCCACGAAACATGACAGTTGGTAAATAGCTTAACATGTCTTCCTCCCTCCATAATTTGTTAAGTCGTTGGATATCAAACAGAATAATAAAAATATTATATGGCAATTACAATAAAGTAAAATTTATTTCAAAGTAAAATATATTTGAGTAAAAGATTTTTTAAAACAAAATAAAATGCAGGACGTCTTTGATATCTAATCCATGGTAGAAGACGTTTAAAACTATTTTCCAACATGTCATCATTCGTGGGACACCCTGTATCTGAAATTACCTTCGTTCCATCTACCATGGTATTAAACTGCAGCATAATTTTATCAATTTCTGTCTAGTAAATTTTTAATTAAATGTTTATAACATCTTACTTAATTAAATGCACGATGTATTTATATTACCTGAACCTAAACTACTTCTACTAAATTAAATAAAATCACTAGAATTTTGAACCTATTGTCAACTTTGCAAGTTTGCAACGCAGGTTTAAAAGTTTGAAAAAAGAATTTCAAATTTCTTTTAATGTGATTGACAACTCTTTATAATTAAAGTGGAACAAAGAGGATTGAGACAGACATCGTATAGTCACGTTAGAGCATTAACGAAATATTAAATTTTTATAAATCGAAAGAAATACTTGCAATAGAATTTAAGTTTTTGAGTGCAATGTCCTGAAAAATATTCACCTTTTTTACGCAAATTTTCAGATAATCTTGGTGCAGAATGGGCGCCAGGACAAACTCCGGAAAGACAAACTCCTGACGAGACAAACTCCTGACGAGACAAACTCCTGAAAATAAAAACTTCTGAAATACAAACTCCAAAATATCAAATTAAAAAAAATGTTTCACAATTTATATTTAATCTAGCCGCAGCGCTCGGCCCAGAAAGTGTCAACACTTAACCTAACCCATGGCCGCAGCGCTCGGCCCTCTAGCCTGTCCTAGCCGCAGCGCTCGGCCCAGAAACCTAACCTAACCCTAAATAATAAAAAATAAATTATAATAAATTTGCTGGTTATTCTGATCATTGTAATACTTTGCTGCTTGAAACATATTCAAATTACTAAAGATTGAGAATTTTTTCTAGGATATTTGCAGATTTTTTCTCCTAAAGTTTATGAATTTTATCATATTTCATTCAGAGAAAAATTTCATAATCTCAGGAGTTTGTTTTTCAGGAGTTTGTACTTTCAGGAGTTTGTCTCGTCAGGAGTTTGTCTTTCCGGAGTTTGTCCTGGCACCGTAGAATGCCGCAAATAATTCCAAGTTTATAGAACTTTAATCTTTTTTTTGTTAATTTTAGCGTAAACCGTGATTTTTTTTCGGGTGGTTCCATGGGCCGGGAAAAATTATAGGCAAAGGTATGCCAAATATGTTGCTATTCATTTGTATCACAAAGGTTAGCCATTACGGAGGCAGAAGAGATATAAGTTTCCCCAAAATAAAGTTTGACATCATTCTCACGGCTTTGAAGATTTCAACATGATTACAATACTTTAGTCTATCCATATTTTATGCCCTAACGTCGCCTAATTTTCAAAAGATAGATTTATCTTCAAGATTTAAAAACTTAAAAACACATAATAAGCGAAGGACGAGGATTTTGAGGTGGCTCGGACGAGAAAATGAGGAGAATGTGGCTCGGACGAGAAATTTTTGTGGCTGGCCTTCCTCCCCTCTTTGGGTAGAACCTCTTAATCGTCAAAAAATCAGTTTTATGGAGAAACAAAACCTAAACTCAATTTTGCAGAAAAAAGAATCTTAATATTTTTGGTCAGACAAAGGTTTACAGCCTACAGGATAACATTGTGAGTCGTGTTTGCCCTCTTTAAGTGGAATAATACAGGTATGAGTAAAAAGTCAGCTGAAATTTTTTTTTATCTTTATATCGTGAATTCTCTTGTTGTGTGCTCCTCTTTAATCTATCTCTGAATAAACTAAAGTTTTCTCTGCTCTTCTCTCTTTCTCTCTCCTTGTATTTAGAGTATTTGTGTACATTTATGATTTCCTAGCAACCAACATTTTTGACTAGACTAGAATAGGAAGTTGCTGGATGCGGGAGAGAAGGCACACCACACCTTTTTTCGTCCGACCACAAATGACGTCACAATTTCCAATTTTTTCTTCCGACCATGCACACTTTTTCGTCCGGCATTGATTACATTACTTTTCTAAGTACTTTACATTATTATTCGAATTTTAACAACGTCATGTTGTACATAATGGGTTAAAATATTTTATCCTGTATTTTTAAGAGGAACATATTGTAATGATCAAAGATATACTGTAGGCTTAACATTTTTAGTTGTAAAATAGGTAAGGCATTTCAATTTTCCATTTTGTCCTAAATTGGGCTTAAATATCGATTTATTTTTTAAACAAAATGCATTTGAAACAAAATCAAATCATTTTGAATAACATCACGCTTCCTAAATTTGAAAAAAAGGTGTTATTAGGCAAAATAACATATACATTTGAATACAAGCAACGTCCGGACGAAAAAAGGTGTGATCGGAGGAAATAATGTTGAATTGTGACATTTGCGGCACGGACGAAAAAATTATATGGTGATTGGTGGGTCTTCCCCCGCACGCTGGATCTAGGCGTCTCAAGAAATAGAGACAATTTAGACATCTTCAACATTTTGCACATATAACCCTAATTAGTACAAATGAACATATTTTAGAGCAATTATGAACAAAAAATTTTCAATCAAACTAAAATTTGAAATTTTACCTTTTGCCAAAAAATAATACTTATTGCCATTGGACTTATTTTAGAACAATTATGAACAAAAAATATTAAATCGAGCTAGTCTGAAATCTAAAATTTCACCGTTTTGAACCTGTACCTTAATTATATACAAAAAAACATATATCTTAGTGCAAATGAACGAAAAAATTTTCAATCCAACTAAAATGTCCAATCCACTAAATTTCAATTGCACTAAATATTTATACAGAAAAAAAACATTAGTTTGTTTGTACAAATATTTTAAGTATTCCAGATCAAATGCACTAATAATCATTTGTTCTAAATATTCCTAGCGGGAAAATAAAATTTTTGTCCAATTGAACACAGAAAAGCTCGATTTTGTGTTCATTTGCATAGGTCGAAAGATACAAAATCTCTTTTAAAGGAGGAAAGTTTTTACGAGTCTCACTAATGTCGTTTTCGTACTATATATATGTCGTCTTTAAAAGAGTACAGTTTTAAAGCAGAGAGGGCAGCTCACTTGCCAAACCATACCGAGTAAAACAACTGCAAAGTTTTGTGAGGGATTGCTGACATTTCTGAAAATAGTTGAAATAAAAAGAGATCTAATCTCTGACTTCAGGTAAATCAATTTTAAAAGAAACAAGAATGAATTCTGAATTCTGTGTACATTCTACAATTGATCGTTAATCACTTTCAGTTAATTTAAACTTTATCAGCCGCTTAATAAATAAAAGTTATCTCCAGGAATGTGTCAATTTCGTAATCAAAGAAATGAAACAAATAGCACCACCATCTACAGCCAAAAGCCCAGGGTATATTTCTAGAGAACGATGTTTGGACCCCCCCCCCCGCCCCCTCCCATCAACTTTGTACATGGATCTTAAATGGAAGAGGATCTTAAATGATAAACATGTGGCCGCAGCGCTCGGCCCCCTAGCCTGTCCTAGCCGCAGCGCTCGGCCCAGAAAGTGTCTTAACTTAACCTAACCCTAAATAATTAAAAAATAAAAATATCAAATTGGTGAAAATAAGTGGTCATGTAGGGGGGGAGCCCGGGGGGTCCTGAAATCGTTCTCTAGGACAGACCCAAGCCCAGTCCTGTGATACGGTTGTATGGGTCCGTCCTAGTATACAACGGTTTAGGGTAGAACAGGCTAGGGGGTCGAGCGCCGCGGCTAGGACAGGCTAGGGCTCGGGTGCTATGGCCATATGGTCAATTATGTCCATGTCTTACATATAAGATCCATGTACAAAATTGATTGGAGGGGGGGGGCGGAGTCCAAAAATCGTATAATAGGACAAGTTCTCAAATGGCAACTAAGCATGCAGTTTTTAAGGTTAGGTTAGGCCCTTTAAGGTGGCCCACTTTGTAGATGGGGAAGAGCGCTGTGGCTAGGATAGGCTAGGAGGGAGGGAACTCCCGGACGCCATGAGCCTCCGCTATGCAGACAAGAGCCTCCCAGATTTGCTAGCCAGACCGAGCCGCCACTATGCAGTGAACGAGGTCAAAAAAAAAAATTTCATTACACGTAAAAACCAATATTTTAAAAAGGCTTCTCTGTATGGTGGGGGCTCGGTCACTGCATAGTGGAGGCACGGTCTGCATAGCGAAGGCTTGGTCTGCATAGTGCAGGCTCAGTCTGCCTAGCAAGTCTGGGAAGCTGGTGTCTGCATTGCAAAGGCTCATGGCGTCCCTTGTCCCTCCCTCGGGCTAGTGTGCCGAACCCTGCGGCTGGAAATGGCAAGGGACCGAGCGCTTCAGCTAACACAGATTAATAAGTTGTCGCTTTAAAAAATTGGGTTTTAAAAAACATATGGGTCCAATTTCTGGGCCAAGCGCTGCGGCTAGGACATACTAGATCAACATTCAATATTTTATTGTTCGATTGTATCCCTGCATCTAAGAATTTGATAAGATATATTGTGTAGTTGTGTAACCATAGCTTTTATAAGAAAGTGTTTGTAAATCCATACTAGGATGAATTTGATCCTTCTCATATAAAAGATTAGAAATGTGACCCAAATAATATTATAATTTAAATTTAAATTTGTATGTCCTATTTCAGTGTTGTTCAATCAGGTTATGTTTTCTCTTACTGGATATCTATTTGAATAACTAAAAAGCCTTTTTTTTTTGGGCTAAAACTGTTCACCTACCTCCATAAGCTTATTACTTTACTTAAACTTTGGCCCTGTATAAAACTTCCGTTTGGCGTTTTTTAGTTGTTACTTTTGGGAGGAAATATTCGAGGGGGGGGGGGGGCAAATATGAATCTCAAAACTAATGTACAGTGTACACCACTGACTTTCAGTTTATTTCACCTTGTATTTTGCCAAATCTCCTAAAATTTGTTCCTTTTTCATTTGATCAAACCTTCCTCCCTCATCACCTTCTTGTATAAGTACAACTCTAACTTAATGGTTTCCTATTTTTCTCCCCTCCTGTTTCCTATTTCATACTTCTCAGCTGATCCCCTCCCCCCTTCCTTCACCTTGCATATGACCCTAACCTACTGGTTTCCTATTTTTCTCCCCTCATGTTTCCTATTTCCTACTTCTCAGCTGATCCTCTCCTCCTTCACCTTGAAGATAACCCTAACCTTCTGGTTTCCTGTATTTCTCCCCTCCTGTTTCCTATTTCCTACTTCTCAGCTGATCCTCTCCCCCCTTCCATCACCCTGCATATAACCCTAACCTACTGGTTTCCTGTATTTTCCCTCTCCTGTTTCCTATTTCCTACTTCTCAGCTGATCCCCCTCCCCCCCTCTTTCACCCTGCATACCTGTGCAATGCTGAAATGCCTGTCGAGTGAGTCAATGGAGTAACCACATAATCTATCTATCTATCTGTCCATCTATCACTACCTGTCTTACTTTCTATACTTATATACATGTGTCTCACAGGTCCACAGTAAGCTAAACTAAGCGATACAGGTCACATCAGGCAGTGTTCAAGCAGTGAATCAAGGCCTGCACAGTACACTGAGATGTTTACACATTGGTTATCAGTGATATTAAGAGATAGTTAACTTGATATACAGATTACATATGTGATATCTGAATAAAAACGACTGATAAGAAATATTAAACTAAGACACTAGGTAATTTGTTTTTCCCTATACTACTATTACAGGTTACATCATAATATTAATCATCTACATTATTCACAAAAGACTTTTAATGATAAAAAACAAGAGACTTAGAAACTTAAATTTTTCATGAAAATTTGTTGCATATTCAAAAATTTGCCAAATTACCTATTTAAGAAATTTTAAATATTACAATCTTTATCAATAATTAATAATTGTATAAATATTAATATTTCAAGTCATTAAATTTTTTTTTAAAAAGTTTTAACGAGATTTTTTTCACCTCATAAAGCACCATGGTTTACCGGGTATATATATTTTCTTTTTAATTAATAAACCCCTAAAAGACATACTTTACATTTTGGGGGAAAAATAATTTCAAAAGGGGGGAGGAAATAATTTTTGAAGTAATTAATAGCCATGCTTTTTTAATTTAAGACCACAAATAAAAAAAATTAAGAAAAACATCCAATCCTTAGAATTAAATAAGAGGAAAAAAATTAGTAGCATTGGATATGTATGTGTGTGGGGGCGGCAATTGTGGTTGGTTTTGCATCAATGTTTGTCTTGTGTGCATATTGTAATATCAAATATTTTTCTTATCAAATCTCTTATGATTGGTTATAAACGTGTCAGCCCTTATTGTTGTTCGTGCTTCAAGATGTACTGTTAGGTTAAGACACTTTCTGGGCCGAGTGCTGCGGCCACGGGTTAGGTTAAGTTGAGGGGGGGGGGGAATATACCTAGAAAAGATAATTTTTTATGATAAGTAACTGGTAAGGTTAAGTAACTAATCAGGTTAAGTAACTGAACTGGTTAGGCTAAGAGTTATTTTGAAAATCCATTTTGCTTAACTTTCGTAGGGAACTTTTTGTGGTGAAACCCCCTATGATCCTAACCAATAATATTTTATGGATTCTCGATGATGTAATGTATGATTGCATCTGGAACGGCGTAACATATTATATCTATGATGCAAGGTTAGAATTTACCCTGGTGATGCAATGTTATGAATACTGAATAGATCTCCAGAGAGATAAGATGTGATGAAAGATGGGACTAATATCTAGCAATGATAGGCCATAGATAGGTCATAAGTCAGTGATGTAAGGTGAGAATTCGACTTGGTGATGCAGATGCGAGATTGAAGATCATCTTGGGAGGCAAGGTTAGAATTCAACTTGGTGATGCAGATGCAAAGTTAGTATTCAACTGAGTGATGCAGATGCAAGATTAAAGATCATCTTGTGATGCAAGGTTAAAATTTAACCAAATAAATGCAAAGTTAGAATTTTTTTTTGATGCAAAGTATTATTCAATTATTATTGTTATGAATTGTGATGCAAGAATGATACACATTTTATTTTCAGTTTATTACAATTTTACAGAAAACTTATTTTATTTTGTCGGTTTGAATGTTTTTAAGAAAATAGACTTCTTATTTTTGTTTCGGAAAATGTTAAGCTTATAGACTTAAAACCAATTTGATGAAAATTAATAGGATTTTTTGAAATTTGGTTATTGAAAAATTTACGAACTCATGATTACATAAAAATGACACGAACAAAACGTTATTTGTAACAGACAAATGATATCACAAAAGACCTAAAAAAATACGAAAACAAAGTTTAAGACAAACAAAAAATCCATTGGAAAAAAATTTATTTGCCCATAGCGTGTTTAACAACAAATATTACAGAATTACGCTGTATTTTTACTTAATTGTTATTAGAAATATTTAGACATGATGATTACTTAATAACTAAGTTATGATTTAACCTTTATTAAGTTCAATATCAAACAATTTGCATCTGTTCGTTTCTTGTATTTTTAACTCTATTTTGTAAACGCAAATTTTAAAAGAAAATTGTATTTTTTCTCAACTACCGTACAGGCATTGATATAACCTTGATCTATTTCTTATTTTAAACATTTTAAACATGTTTTAATGATAATTGTGGAAATCATTCAACATTTTTTTTAAACAACTTATTGGCGAATTTACCCATTTAGTAAGTGCTCATTTATACTTTATAATTGATGAAAAAAATGTTCATTTATCATCCTGTTTATTTCTAAAGAATCCGTCATAACCCCTTCCGCCCCCCCCCACACGTTGACAACCTTAGATTATTTAAACTTTTATCTTGACTAGAACTTTTATCAAATTTTAATCTTCTTTGTTCAGTCTATTTATTTTTTATCTTTCCATCTTTTTCTCTTAACCCTCATCCCCCCTCACCCGACCTAGGTTCTGAGATCTTAAAAAGTTTTTTTTTTTAAGTGTACCGTTGACTGTAGATTACGTATTTCTACTACGCATAACTAGTGCAAGAAAATGTCTTAGATTTGTCACTTACTTGGAAGTCAGTCAGTAAAAGTCAGTCAGTAAAATCCCCTAAAATTGATCAAGTTTTCATACTTCCGCCCTCGTCTACCCAATTCACATTATCTCAACCTCTGTCAAAGAAAAAATGTTCGTGAGAAGATTCATTTCATTCTGAGGAANTTATGAGGGGTGGGGTTGGAAGGGAATAACTTTAAATCATTAGATCTGTATAAAATCAGGTTTATTATCAAATCAGTATAAATCTTTAATTAATGAAATAATTAATAAATTATAACCCTCTGTGTCTTGAGGTAGTTTGATTCCTCTTCAGTGATAACCAGAAAACAATGGAATAGGAAGATGGCAATAGCAGTACTGAAGTGTATTTGATGATGCTACAAAGCAAATAATTTTACTAGACACTTATTTAGTAAAATGGGTTTGTTTACACTGCACAATTGATGTCATTCGTGCTCATTGGATTTTTAAAAGTTATAATTTGATTATAAAAGTAGTCTTCCTATTTCAGAGTTTTCTGATTACCACTGTAGATGAGGTTCTTTCCGTTCTTATTACTCTCATAATATTATCATATCCCGGATCATATTGTAAGTGCATTTTTCATCCGTTCATCAATCAATCATTCATCTTATCGTCAAAATATTTCTATCAGTGCTTAGGATCCATTTAATTTTGATGCGGATCCAGATCCTGGATCCGCACTGGAAAAAATTCGGGTTATTTCTTTAAAATTTACTGAAATTTTTAACAGCATAATTTTCAAATTTAATTTTTTTTTTTCGTTTATTTTTATGCCAAAACTTGATGTACCATTCAGCAATCAGGAAATTTCTATAATATCTCTTTTTCCAATAGTTCAGATTTAGGTTTTGAGAGAAAACTTTTTTTACAGTTTTTGGTTGATATTCTTCTCCGTGGATCCGCATATTTTTGCGGATCCGGATCCAGGAAGCCAAAATCGATCTTAAGCACTAATTTCTATCTATCCTTCTATCTTTACTGTTAATCTATCCTTCTATCTATCTATCAAACCTTAAATTTATCTTCATTATCTTGCTTCATATTCTTCTATCTATCTATAAATCTATATCATTCTATTTCTATCTATCTATCTATAAATCTATATCATTCTATTTCTATCTATCCATCCATCCATCTTTTTATCCAACTATCTATTTTATCTATCTATCTATCTATCTTGATATCCTCCGGCGGCCCTCGCCCCTCCTCATCAGCTGATTTATTACAACCATCTCCCAGCCATATATCAGCTGCAGTACTTGTAATCTAGTACAATAGTCATAATGGACATTTAAAAGTTGATTAAATGTACAAATCTTACATGCATTGACATTTAAAAATGACTGTATTTAAAATTTCATCGATAAAACCGGTGAAACTTCTCCAAGAAAAACGAATGACTGGAATGGAATAGTAAAACTCATCCTGTAATTGTTTCAGGTTTGAAAGTATGTACAGCTGTACATGAATAGATCCTGGAAGGATGGATGTACTGTACTGCCGGTGATTGATCTAGAACATGAGAATGGTTTTGTCCCAGCGTCAACGGGAGGAATTAAACAAGGCTATTGCCGACTACCTCCTCAGCAATGGATACAACGAGGCCTTGGACGCTTTCAAGAAGGAGACTGATATGCCAGGAGAGGTGGATAAAAAATACGCGGGTCTTTTAGAAAAGAAATGGACCTCTGTCATCCGGTTACAGAAAAAGGTAAAAAATTGTAAAAAAATTAACGATTTCAAAATTTCACAATTTTTTGTTTTTACTATTATTTTTACTAAGAAATTTTTAAGATTATTAAATAACAGCTTGCCTTGCGCATAAGAAGATTATAACCACAGATTGAGTAGATAAGCGGAAAAATTATGAAATTAAGATAGTTCTGATATTGATTTGTACTTCAAGGCTCCAAAAACATAACATGATACTCACAGCACATCGAGTGTGGACTGTTGGGGTTAAATTTTACGGAAATAAAATAAACTGTGTCGAAATTTAATGAATTTGAGCCGCGTCTCAAATCCGCCAAAAACCGGTTTCAATTGAGCGCCGGCCTCGGAACTATTTGATAATTATACAACATCTGTATTTTTCATCATATTTTAAAAGACTGTGAGCGCAATTACAATTGAGCCCCATTTGAAGAGTTGCATGCCCGTTTCACAACTGTACCCTTTACATCTTTTCTGATCAATGTCGTCGTTTCTCCATCCTGAAAACTACTTAATTCTGTCAATTTCCCAGGTTTAACCCACAATTTAAAATTTTCAATTTCAAAAATTTCTTCAAAAAACAATTTGCTCAGAAAATTGTGTAGAGGTTACCGTTGTGAATTTTGTATGCTACGCTTCAAATAAATTCGACAGCCCCTTATACACTTGATGTTAATTTTGATGCGGATCCGGATCCGCATCCGGGGTCCGCACTGGGGTAAAAATGGATCCGGATCCAGGTTATTTCCATAAAATTTACTGAATTTTATTAACAAAGAAGAATTTTCAAATTTTTGTCTTATTTTTTTTGATGAACCATTCAGAAATCAGGAAATTTTTTATAATCTTTTTTTTCAATAGTTTAAACTTATTTGGGGGTTGAGAGTAAGTTTTTTGTTATTGCAGTTTTTGTTAATATTTTGCCCATTGGATCCGGATCCGTGGATCCGCTTTTTTTGCGAATCCGGATCCGGATCCAGGAAGCCAAAATCTTCCGGATCTTAAGCGCTGTTAAAAACTATTAAGAAATCTGAACTTTTAAAAACTTTTCTTTATTCTCGAGTTTGACATTTAAGTCTGTAATGGGAAAAGATATTTTATTTATATAGTTCTAGGACTAGAAGTTATATTTACAGGTTTGAACAGGATGAACATTATATTCCATTATTATGGAACTATTACGTTAAATTGGCAGATAACGCTACACTTTTCCAATGCAGGATTAAATACTAAATAGCTAGTAAAATTCGAAAATAATTGTCAACCATTTTTAATTCGTTTTTTAAGGAAACTAAAAAATGGATTTTTTAATATTTTCATTTGTAAATATGAATTTCAACTCACAAATGTCGATTTATCCCCAAATTTTGTTAAAATTATTTTTTTTTCAGGTGAACGAGCTTGAAGCCAAGTTATCTGAAGCCGAGAAAGAATATATTTCAGGCGCACCGACGCGCGAAAAACGCTCACCGAGCGAATGGATCCCACGTCCTCCTGAGAAATACGAGCTGAGCGGTCACCGCGCGCCGGTGACCCGTGTCGTCTTCCATCCAATCTTTAGTCTGATGGTGAGCGCGAGCGAGGATGCAACGATTAAGATTTGGGATTTCGAGACGGGGGATTACGAGCGCACACTGAAAGGCCACACTGACTCCGTCCAGGTATATTTCATTTGTAAATATTTTGGCCAGGCTATTGAGCAGTGCTTAGGATCCATTTAATTTATTCAACAGCTCAGATTTGGGTTTGAGAGCTAAAGATTTTGTTTTCAGTTATTTGTTGATATTTTGACCGTTGAATCCGGATCCGTGGATCCGCAAATTTTTCCAGATCCGTCTGACCCCATCATTGCTGAATGACACATTATGGATAAGTTTAAGACCTAATCATCGCTGAAAGATATAGAGAAAACGGGAGATTAGTTAAGGACCTAGTCTTTGTTGTGTAATAAATTAGTTTAAAATCTAATCATTGCTAAATGATTCAGAGAGTTCAACGAATTACATACACACTGGTGTGTGATTAGTTTTAATCATATGTATCAATCAATCACTTTAGTTAGTTAATCCGCCATACGCCATATAAAACTAAAGATTATTTAGAATTATTTTTAAAAGAAATTATCAATAGAATCAGGGCGGTAGAAAGACGGTCTTAACCTCTTTTTTGATATTTTCCCCTTCGGAAATAATTTTTTTGCGCGAAGTAAGATTCTTTTTTATCAATCCATGTATCTATTTTTTCAAATCTCTATCTGCATTTAATCTACAGCGTAAATACTCTGTGAAGATTTACTTTTAAAGATATTAAGGGAATTCTTTAATAATTAGATAGCTAAAATACTATTAGGGGAAAAAGGAAAGTTGAAGAGAAGGAGGGATTGTCGGAACGGATTTTTAAGGAAAATATTTATCAATATCTGTTTATCCATATTTGTTTATCCATATTTGTTTATCCATATTTGTTTATCCATATTTGTTTATCTATATCTTTTTATCCATATCTTTTTATCCATATCTGTTTATCCATACATCTGTTTATCCATACATCTATTTATCCATCCACCTATTTATATCTTATCTATTTATCCATCCATCTATTTATCTATATCTATTTATCCATCTATCTATTTAACTATATCTATTTATCCATCCATCTATTTATCTATATCTATTTATCCATCTATCTATTTATCTACATCTATTTATCCATCTATCTATTTATCTATATCTATTTATCTATATCTATTTATTCATCTATCTAACTATCTATCTAACTATCTATCTAACTATCTATCTAGGATGTAGCCCTGGATAGAGACGGGAAGCTACTAGTGAGCTGTAGTGCAGATATGTCGGTCAAACTATGGGATTTTAATAGTTATGAATGCTTAAAGGAATACAAACATTCATAATGTTAACAAATTAAAATTTTTTATTAAAGGGACTGTAGAGGTAATTTCAAGTGACCCTCCATTTAAAGAGTGGCATGCCCAAATTCACAACAATACCCTTAAAAGCTTTGGCTCATAAAGAAAAAATTAGTTATCCATGTTTTTTTCTTAAAAAATTGATTTTGAATGATAATTTACGAACTTATGCTTGAGAAAAAACAGAGAAAATTGTCAAACTAGGTAAATTGTATTAAAAAATATTGTATATTTTTATTTTTATTTTATTTTTCGTCCTTTTCAATCTTTTTTAAATTAATTTTAAAATGTTTGTTTGTGACCTCTAGACTATGCACGGTCATGACCACAACATTAGCAGTGTCACCTTCCTACCCTCTGCGGACTATATCTTGACCTCCTCAAGAGATAAATCAATCAAGATGTGGGAGGTTGCTACAGGATTTTGCGTCAGAACTTTTACAGGGCACAGGTACGCAATAAATACGCATTTTACTAGAAGTAAGACACTTGTTTGGAAAGGGATCTAGTCTGGAATGAATGAGAAAGCTTTTATTATTTTTCGGATACATACCAGGGGTATATATTTTTAAGAATCAATAATTTTCGATGCAATTGGGAGTCAAAAGAAATGACATCAACTGTAAATTTGTTCACCCTTTTTATCCAAGGGGAATATTCCTTTGAAAAGGGATGTGGTAACCTACTCCCCCTTCCCCCATTCCGGTCCTCACGGGAGGAAAAGTTCTGGAAAAATAAACTTGTGACGTTCTTCCCACCGTACGTGTGCGTGGAAGTAACACCCCGGGCCCGCCATAAGCCTCGCATACAGTCCGAGCCTCCGCATTAAAGTACCAGTTTTATACGAAAACTTGCGCATTTTTTACTCGGAAAGGAAGTTATCCAGAAAACAAATTCGGAAATGAATTTAATTTTCTCTTTTTCGAATAATCATTGATTACGTGTTTAAAAAAATGTTAATCAGATAAATATTATAAAATTATTTTCTCGCGGAATTTTCTAGATCATAACAATTTCTTTAACAAAGGTATTCAAGATTTCAAGAAAAAAAACTTGATCCACGCGAATTTTTGCTTTCAAAATATTCTGATTTCTGCATATAATTTTTGGGTAAAATGCAGTGCTTAGGATCCGGGCCCGGATCCGTTGGATCCACAAGATTTTGGCTTCCTGTATCCGGATCCGTAAAAATATGCTGATCCACGGATCTGGATCCAAGGGGTAAAATATCAACCAAAAACTGCAAAAAAAACTTCTTTACTCCTAAAACCCATATCTGAACTTTTGAAAAAAGAGGGATTATAAAAATTTCCTCGTTTCTGAATGGTTCATTAAGTTTTAGGATAAAAATAAGCGAACAAAATAAAACAAAAAATTTGAAAATATTTTTTTGTTAAAAAAATTAATTAAATCTTAAAGAAATGACCTGTATCCGGATTGGATTCGGATCTGGATCCATTTTTTTCCAGTTCGGATCCAGAATCCAGATACGGATCCACATCAAAATTAAATAGATCCTAAGCACTTGTAAAGCGTATGAAAAACTTGCCTTATGTCCAATTTTTCATATTTTTTCTCTAGATCTTCAAAAATCATTCCGCGAGTAATTCTTAAATAAACACTCCCCTATCATGGCTGCTTGGATTTTCCTCCCTCTCTCAGCCCCACCCACTATCATTAAACCATTATAAACCTCCCTTAAACCAAGCACCCCACCTCCTCATATCTTAAATAAATCTTAATTTTATAATCTGAACTTATAGGAATTAACTTTTAAATATTTAAGTTAATTTGAAGATAAGATTATTTATATTATTTAAAACATATATAACTGAAATGATAAGTTTATTTAGATTATTTACAATATAGAAATATGTCAAACTTGATTTTTTTCTGTTATAGATATTCAATACGTCCGCTTTATAAGTTCATGTAATTATTTATCCAAGGGTGTAATGCAAAGAAAGTTAATTGCAGTCGTGTATACTCTGCGTAAATATTGAAACCAGTTCTCTTTGGGCGGAATTTGTAAACAAGAATAGATGCATCAGTGTTCGATTAGTATCCGAGGAGGGAAAAAGCATTAAATTTGATAATTTTGATAATTCACATAATAGTTTTCTATGACCAGAATATTTCATTGATGTGAAAGATGGATCCCATGTCAGGCTGTAACATCCGTCTTGTGTTTACATTACCGCCCAGAGACAGTACACTGCAGTACAAAAGATGCGTACACTTGAAATAACTTTCTTTGCATTACATCTTTGGATTTATCAATGTTACTATTCAGGGTTACATATTTCTTGTAAAATTATCCTTCCTTATTTAAGATTATTTTTATGGAATGTAAAGAATATTTTAAAGTTTTAATCTTGGAAAATAAACGAAAGGGATAGAGAAACAATTAAACCACAAGGGAAAAAATTTGGCGAACCTTAGAAAAATATTTAGATTTTTTTTTTTGGGGGGGGGGTGATAATAAAAGATACCCTGGCAATTTTTTGATAAAATGATGTCAATGTTAACCACGAAATTCTCGATATTTTAAAAAGTGCTCCGTGATGTCGGTTCACCTAAGGAAAATGGGTGTTAACCCTTTTGAAGATGAAAATAGAATTTTAACCATTATCATGTCACAAATAATTTTCTTCTTCATGCGATCAGAATTCAAATATATGCTCATTCCTCATCTATGAATAAATTATCGAAAGGTCAAAAATATTAAATTATATTACCTTTTTTGTCTTTGGTAATACATTATTAACTGAATCAAATGAATATGAGCAAAAGCTGGAATTCCTAGGCTTGAAGGTTGACTGCGATAATTATTATTATTAATATTCCAATATTATTCAATTTGTGATTCTGAGCATCAATGCTTAGGATCCATTTAATTTTGATGCGGATCCGGATCCAAATCCAGGTCCTTTCTTTAAGATTTACTGAATTTTTTTAACAAAAATAATTTTCAAAGTTTTTTTTAATTTTTTTTCGCTTATTTCTATCCTAAAACTCGATAAATCATTCAGAAATGAGGCAATTTTTATAATCTCTGTTTTTTTCAAAAGTTCAGATTTGGGTTTTAGGAGTGAAAAAGTTTTTTTTTGCAGTTTTTGGTTGATATTTTACCCCTTGGATCCGGATATTTTTTCGGATCCGGATCCAGGAAAAGGACTTGAATCGTGTAAGAATTTAATTTAAAGTACAGTATACATAATATTTTTGTATAGGGATTGGGTTCGAATGGTTCGTGTCTCACCAGATGGATTACTGTTGGCCAGCTGTTCAAACGATCAGACTATCAGAATATGGGTTACTGCAGGAAAAGATACTAAGTAAGTTAAACAAACTGATTTTTCTTTTCATTTTGACTTTGATAATTATTTTTTCAGCTAAATGGTTACTTTGAAATGGATAAAAAGAGACGGCTTAGTGGAATTTTTTTACATTCATGAGTCACTGCTGTTGTAAACTCGTTTTTTTTTTTTTTGACAAAGACTAAGTTTCTAATTTCGGTGCTAAAAGCGTTTCAGGTCGTCAATTTAGTCTCAAACATCAAGCCTTTTCAATGAAAATTTTTTAAGACCCCAAGAATTTGGAATTTATTTCATGTTAAATTTTTTATTGTTGGTTAAAAACATAGATTCCCCTAGTTTTGTTAATAGTGACCAACCAGTATAAATCCAGCATAATTTTTTAGTTGTTCCGGTGTGCCAACCAGTTTCAGGCCCCATTGTGTTTCCATATATGCCAAGCTTAATGGTTCTAACTGCGTGATATCTATTTCAATTTGTTCTATACCCCCCGACACACTCTCATAAAATCAGGGGCATGTAATATAAAATAAACAAGAAATAAAGAGAAAGGAAAAGAGGTAAAAATAGAGAATCGAGAAACAGACAAAATTTGTGAGAACTTGATAATTTGTGTGCATATCTTGAAAAATAAGGACAATTTCTTTAAAGACCTTGATGGTGGGGTGAAAGGGGGAAAAGACATTAATTGCTCTGTTTTGTAGATGTGAGCTGCGAGATCATGATCATGTGGTAGAATGTATCGCCTGGGCTCCTGAAGCTGCCCATCAGGCTATTAATGAAGCAGCGGCAGCTGCTGATAATAAGAACAGGTAAACTGGGCCCGGGTATACTCTTTCAAGAGCTAAATTTTTTTTATATGGTAAAGGAAGTGTTTGCGAAAAAAGAAAGGGGATATAAGCTGATATTCGATCTTGATCGCTACCAGTTTTACTTCTATGAGGAGAACATTTTTTAAAACGTCTTAACATCCAAGAGCGTATCGTTCATACAAATTCACGTTGTTGCATTTTTCCACTCATCCTAGCTAAATAATACAAATAAATTTAATCTATTCATTCAGATATTATAATCTGTAATTCTATTCAATGTATTCGTATATAGTTGATATTTCATAATATGTTTTATTTTTTATGATCTGAGAGTTACTTTTGAAAACATTAATTTCTTCATCAGATAGAAGTAAAATTAGTAGCGATTGATATCGAATTCTAATAGACGTCAACATATAACCCCTTTCATTTTTCGCGAACACTCCATTTAATTTATAATTTTGATTTTATATTTCGCCCCTTTGATCCGACTCCGTGATCTTGATCAAGGGAGCTAAAAGTTTGCCATCAAGTAGATCTGGATCCTTAGCATTGCTTTTGCATTTGCATGCATGATTTGGAAATACTATTTAAAAACCGTTTAAATTATCTTCCACAAAAGTTCAAGTTTCCCTTTCAGATTTCATGATTAGTTAAATAATTATTTTATTTCCCTGGAGAGAAGAACGTATAGTATTGTGTCACTGTTCACGGGATTTAGTGCTGAGGATAGCAAAGATGGAAAGATAGGAAAGATGGTTGACGCTCTTGGCAAAAATGAAGAATTTGATATGACCGGGGTTACACNGGGAGGGGGGTTCTAGCAAAAATATAAACCCCAGAGTATTTATTCTGACCGCTGACCAATAAAGGTGTTATTCAAACATCTTTAAATATAATTTTATTTTCAGTGTTTCCCACACTGGACCATTCCTAGCCAGTGGTTCCCGGGACAAGAGTATCCGGGTCTGGGATGTTAGCACAGGAATCTGCCTTTTCTCTCTACTAGGACATGATAACTGGGTTAGAGGTATTGGAGACAAGCTTTTTATGATCCCCCCCCCCTGAAGTTCTACATTTTCGGCCCTGTAAGACGAAAAATCGCACAAAATTGCCCTGTTAAAAAAAATTATTAAATTTAGTCGATCTCTTGACAAAAAAAAACTTTTTTGAGCGAAAAGAAAAATTGCGTTACATTCTTTTCGAGGTATTCGAATAGAAATAAACTTGAACGAAATACTTTTTTAAACCGAGCATCTTTAAATGTTTTTTAGTTGTACCTGTGGGAAAACATCAAAAATATTAAAAAATTTATTAATTTTTAGTTTTGTTATATTTATATCGTGACATTTTTAACATCTTCAAACATTTGTTCGACACTCCAAAAGATGCCCATTTTCTTAAACTTTAATTTAATAAAGATGTTAAAACTGAAATAATGCCAGGGTTCCACAATCCACATTATTAAATATTGATTAAACATATTTTTACATTCAAGCTTTAACTATCACTTCTCACTGACATAAACATTCTTAAAACATTCCTAATGATAAAATTAATGATATTTTTAAAGTATTTTTATCAAATCATGTTTTTCAGTTTGTTGCCTAGTAAAGAAAATTTAAAATGTAAATAATCCTAAGACGAAGATTTAGGATTTATTAAAATTACATATTTAATTTTAACAAAATCTTCTCTGCTGTCGTTACATATTCTTTTTCCATATTTGTTATTCACATAAGGTTACAAAAAACCTTTTATAATTATTCTATAATAAAAATCTTGAATTAAAACAAACCATTTTCCTTTAATCAAAATGATTTCTCTATTTTATTTGTAAATATTTTTGGGCTTTCTTTTAAAGGTTTTTTTTTTATTTTAGAAAATCCATTTTTTGTATTAAATTTATTGTTTAGGAGTATCCTGGCATCCTGGTGGTAAATATTTACTCTCTGTCAGTGACGATAAGACGCTGCGCGTCTGGGATATCGCGCACGCACGGTGTCACAAGCGACTAGACGCGCACACACATTTCGCCACATCATTAGGTACAATTATTTATTTTCCTTGAAGGGACTGTAATAGAAAAATGAAAGTAAGTATATGCTGAATCCTAAGCATTTTAGGAGTTGATCGAGACCCATAAGAGTTTTATCTGATGTTCCTGTCTCGAGAAATTTATATTAAACTGTGACAAATTCTTACGAAAATCTATATAACTAAAATTTTGTAAAAAATAGTAGGTTTAAACGGATCATATTCAGCAAATACACAACCAATCTGAATACAACGATATCCCAGAGGAGCCTAAGAAACTTAGCTTTGCTCCTATTATTATTTGAATTTATTATTCTTTTATTTTTAAAAGATATAATTTATAATATAGTACATGTAACCAGAACTTCCACCAATGGCAGTGCAGTATCATTATCACGTGACTCCGTCTGTATCACGTGACCATAACACTGCACTGCCATTGGTGGGAGTTCTGGTCACGTGATACGGACGTTTATCTTACATTATACGTTTTATCAATTAAATTCAAATAATAATGTGAGCAAAGCTAAGTTTTTTAGGCTCCTCTGGGATATAGTCATTTTCAGATTGGTTGTGTATTTGCTGAATATGATCCGTTTAAACCTACTAATCTTTACAAAATATTATATATATAGATTTTTGTATAAATTTGACACAGTTTTATATCAATTTCCCCGAGACAGGAACATCAGATAGAACACTCATTGGTCTCGATCAACTCCTGAAATGCTTAGGATTCCGCCTATACATACTTTCATTTTTCCTTTACAGTCAGTCAGATTTTTTCCAAATCACCTCCCCCCCCCCCTCCTGAAAAATTATTTTCCCCAAAAAGTAATTTTCTGGTTTTAGAGGGATAATTTTTCATTTTTGAGAAATAATTTGAGAAAATCATAATAATTGTTTAAAGTTTTAACAGCTCAGATGATTAAAAAGAGAATGTTTTTTTTTTAAAGAATTGTAAAATTATTAATAACCTTTTATGTTCAGATTTTCATCGGAACCAGCCTTATGTTGTCACAGGGTCTGTGGATCAAACAGTAAAGGTTTGGGAGTGCAGATAGACAGATAGATACACAGGTACAAAATACATTTTGGAGATATTTTCATTTCACAATTATTTAAATAAATAAATAATTTTCCACGTTTATCAGAAAACTCACAGAATTATCAAGATGCGAGTATAAAACAACATTTTTGAAACTTGTTCTTTGATGAACAACAATTCTGTTGTTGAAGCAAAAAAATAAAGTTTATCTTATTTTCAGGGTCAGTAGAGTAGAAAAAGCCAACTTAACAATTCACCGAGTGATAGAAAAATGCATGTACACCGGGTACCCAGTACATAGTGTAACAAACTGAGTGTTTATGTACTGTATATCATTGTACTTAGTACACGTGTACAGTACTGCTGCATGAACGTGATGCATCTCTACGAATTATGTACTTCACATAGGACTGTTACCAGCTTGTGTGCCCAGTACACTGAACAGTGTACACTCCAACATTGTACCGTACTGCTGCGGATTTGATAAAGCGATGATGCTCGTGTATAGTGTTCAGTGTACACTCTAGTTCAACAAATCTGCAAAAATTCTGTAATTGTGCTAACAATGATTTTTACCGTGTTCATGTACGTACAAGGATTCTGTTTCTCATGCCTGCAAGTATGTATGTACCGGGCAAAACTTTGAACTTAACCCCTTAGCTGTACACGGGTAAGCTTTATTACAGTTCTCAATGTACATTTTCATGTGCAGTGTGTTTACAACTACTTACAAGATATTGAATGTACACGTTAAATGTACAAGCATTAGATCTTGTAATGGTGTAGTAAGTGTACTGTTCAAACTGTACAATGTACATACACGCTAAGAATCCCAGTCTGCCAAAGTAGAGACTACGTTATAATCACGAAATTATTTTTAAATTAATTGTTAAATATATTATTTTAAGTTCAGTTGTAAACTAACCAATCTTATTTGCGCCATGTAACACACTCATCACACCTGGGTCACACACAAAGCTTCGTCGTTTTTCATTCTTATTTTTCTTAAACATTTTCCATTAACTTAAAACCGTTCAAAACCAGGTTTTCCATTTCCTTCCAACATTCCTACAACCGGGTTTCCATTTCCATTTAACCTTCCTAAAACCGGGTTTCCATTTCCGTTAAACCTTCCTACAACCGGGTTTCCATTTCCATTTAACCTTTCTAAAACCGGGTTTCCATTCCTATTTACCTTCCTGAACCGGGGTTTCCACGTAATTATCCTCCTAATCCTGTTATCAATGACTCTTCAGANCCATCGAAAAGTAAGAAATCAGGAATGTTTTATTTTCAGATATATTCTTCTTTTTAGACTCGGTTACATTTTACTTACCTCAGTCACAAGACAATGACGAGATAAAAATACCAAAAATTCTACATTATATTTAGTTCTTCGCTGTGTTATGTATTGCAGTAGCGAGTGCCTGTACTCGTGTGCACTAGCTGTACAATTTTACAACTGCTTCTAATAATATTGGAATACATTCCCTATCCGTACATAGTTGTGTATTTTCTGTTTGACATATAATTCTTAATGTTGTTTATGTTCATATTTCCAGTGATGAATAACTGTTTTACCAATTACACAGGTCAGTTATTGCTAAGATTTGAACTGCAAATAGTGACTTGTGTTTAAACAGTTAGACTAAAATCAGTGACACTTAAAACGTAGATCATATTTAATATGAATGGCTGAATAGAATTCAAGAAACTACTGCTTGTGAGATTAGAATCCAAGAAACTGCTGCTTGTGAGATTAGAATCCAAGAAACTACTTCTTGTGAGATTAGAATCAAAGAAACTACTGCTTGTGAAATTAGAATTCAAGAAACTACTACTTATGAGATTAGAATCCAAGAAACTACTGCTTGTGAGATTATATCTAAGAAACTACTGCTTTTGAGATTAGAATCCAAGAAACTGCTGTTTGTAAGATTAGAATCCAAGAAACTACTGCTTGTGAGATTAGAATCAAAGAAACTACTGCTTATGAGATTATAATCCAAGAAACTACTGCTTGTAAAATTAGAATTCAAGAAACTACTGCTTGTGAAATTAGAATTCAAGAAACTACTGCTTGTGAGATTAGAATTCAAGAAACTACTGCTTGTGAGATAAGAATCCAAGAAACTACTGCTTGTGAGATTATAATCCAAGAAACTACTGAGAATACAAGAAACTGCTGCTTTTAAGATTAGAATACAAGAAACTACTGCTTGTGAGATAAGAATCCAAGAAACTACTGCTTGTGAGATTATAATCCAAGAAACTACTGCTTGTGAGATTAGAATACAAGAAACTGCTGCTTTTAAGATTAGAATACAAGAAACTACTGCTTGTGAGATTAGAATCCAAGAAACTACTGCTTGTGAGATTAGAATTCAAGAAACTACTGCTTTTGAGATTATAATCCAAGAAACTACTGCTTGTGAGATTAGAATCCAAGAAACTGCTGCTTGTGAAATTAGAATTCAAGAAACTACTGCTTGTGAGATTAGAATTCAAGAAACTACTGCTTGTGAGATTATAATTCAAGAAACTGCTGCTTCTGAGATTAGAATCCAAAAAACTACTGCTTATGAAATTATAATCCAAGAAACTACTGCTTGTGAGATTAGAATCCAAGAAACTACTGCTTGTGAGATTAGTATTCAAGAAACTACTGCGTGTGAGATTAGAATCCAAGAAACTGCTACTTGTAAGATTAGAATCCAAGAAACTACTGCTTCTGAGATTAGAATCCAAGAAACTACTGCTTGCGAGATTAGAATCCAAGAAACGACTGCTTGTGAAATTAGAATCCAAGAAATGATCAGAATAATGAAAGGAATCTCTCGAGAATGACATATGAAGACATGAATTAAGCCCCCCTAGCAGATTGCCAATGTCTAGAAAAATGAATTTAGGAATATTGGTGTCCAAGGGATAAAAAAGTCTGAAAATGATGATTTACCGTTAGAAATTGACTACTATAAGATAGATAACAATAATGTGACGTAAACGTTTATCAATTCTTTTAAACAATGCCAAGGAATGTGTCGTGCAGAATGCAGAATCACAGGACATAAGCCTAGACTGACGAATAAATAGTTAACGTCAATGTTACAGATAACAGAGCCAGGGAAATAAAATTAGTTTTTTGTTAAGTTTGACGTTGCTAAAATGTAAAATTACAACAGTATCCGCTAATCAATTTTTTAAGAAATAATTTTTTTTTCTTATTTTTTTTTATCGAGAAATTCAAATTTCATGTTCAATAAAAGATACTTCAATCGACTATTGAATTATGAATCAGATTGGCAATTGTTAAAAATAAGAAATAATATATTTTCTTCGTTTTCTCTATAAATGTTTTTTACTTAAAAAAAATATCCCTCCCATGAAAGTTTCGAATCAAAGATGAGTTACCTGGATTAAGCTCCCATTCAGAATATTTACTTTGAAACTAGGGAAAACGGATCAATCAAATAAAAATACGGGTTTGATCCTATAAAAGACAAATTGATATTTTGTTGAAATTACTTATTTAGGCACCTTCCTTGATTATTTATTCTAATAAGGCCAACTCCGGGCCTTAAGCTTATTGAAAGGAAAACAAACATCACTTTGCTATTAATATTGCACTTTACCGGAAAAGCAGCTGAAATTACGAACATTTTGTGTTAAATTATAAACTTCCGTTATAAGAGAAACCTCATAAATTCTTAAATTCCTAAAATTCTTCTGTGATATTCGAACAAAATTATCGTGATTTTAAATGCTCTCGGTACAAGTTCGATATATTTAGAACAAAATAGTCGTGATTTTCTTAACTTTCGGTAAGTTCCATATTTCGAAGAAAATTATTCTGATTTTTAATTGCTTTCGGTAAGTTCCATATTTCGAAGAAAATTAAGATGATTTTTAAATGCTTTCGGTAAGTTCCATATTTAGAAGAAAATCAAGATGATATTAAAATGCTTGCGGTAAGTTCCAAATTTAGAAGAAAATTAAAATGATTTTTAGATGCTTTCGGTAAGTTTGAAAACAAGATTATCATGATTTTTTATTGCTATCGATCAGTTCTGTAGTTTAGCGAGCTCAAAAATAAATTAATTTTCTGTAAAAATCCCTTCAATTATGACAAAACGTTTACAATAGATAAGAATTGTTTCAAAGATAAAATGTTTTAGTGTCAGGACCTGAGATGTATATTATACACGTTTTCAATTGATAGATTCCATGTTATAATTGTTTTAAATAAAGGACAGCCATTCAAAGAATTTAACATTTCTGTGTTTTCTGTTCTTAAGAAGTGTGTAGAAATTCAATGACGCGACTGATGACTCTTATTGGTTTGCTAGGAGTTATCTCGTCTATTAGTGCACAGGTAAACTGTAGTTGCATGCCCGATTCACTACGGTACCCTGGAAACCTTAATCGGATTAATAATATGAAACTTAAGTTCTTTTTTCTAGTCTAAAGCAAACCATGATGTAAATGTAAATGCATGCACAATTAAAAAAATACAGTTTTCATAAATAAAAACATGGATATCTAATTCATACTTGATCGGATAAAGGGTTCAGGGTTCTGTTATGAATTGAACATGTCTCACTCTATTGATAAAAAGTCAGTTTGGTTTAATCCAATCCATCAACTTTTAAATTTTCAAGCCGCAACTTTAAAAATTGTTTAGTTTTTTTCTATTGCTTTAGGGAATTGAGTTTTCGCCACAAACTCTGATTTTCTAATCCCTATATCTTTGGGACCAAATGTCGTAGACCAAAGATATTTCTAACTATGAATTATGTTAGATCACATCTTTTAAGTTTGAAATATAAAAGGTTTACACCATTATGTTGCAAAGATATAACTTCGAAAATTTGAGTTTGTGACAAAGGCTCAATTTCTTTGAAAAGAGTATTCGGTAAAACTCATTTGAATAGATTTATATAATTTGTGTATGTCGGACCACATTTTAAAAGTCCCAGATTGCACTCCAAGAAACTCAAAGTCATGAACTTTAAGTGTAACAATAACTGAGATATTTTAAACTCGATTCCCATGCTTATTGGATCTCCCTGTGATGTTAGAATGTCTGTAAACTTTTTTGATTATTTTGGATTTTTTTGATAATTCGGATAATAAGTCAGGATTAAATTTTTTTAGTTTTGGTATTCTTGTTATTTATAGAAAAAATTGTTAAAAATGTAATGTTTATCAGAAAAAATGTTAAACATAATGTAATGTTTATCAGAAAAAATGTTAAACATAATGTAATGTTTATCTGAAAAAATGTTAAACATAATGTAATGTTTATCAGAAAAAATGTTAAACATAATGTAATGTTTACCAGAAAAAACATTAAACATAATGTTCTCATTAAATTCTAAACTTTTCAAAAACGATTAATTCTTTAACAAAATTTGATCTCTGTCCAACGGAAAATAGTTATGAAACTTAATATTAGATTAGGTTAGTTGTAATGTGATAAATAAAGACTTAATTTATTAGATTTTATCATTGCATTACTTATCTCTATATGTAGGCTTTTATACGCCAAGAGAAAATCCTGGAAGCATTTGGTGAAGATGGATATTTAGAGGACACGAGCCAAGAGGAAATACAAAACGTAAAAGACAAAGAAGATGCTCTAGAATTTGAACTAATGGAATTTGAAGTAGCAGACCAAGATAATTCGTTAGATTTTAAACTTTTAGAAGTAGCAGACCAAAAAGATATGCTAGAATCAGAAGTAGCAGACCAAGAGGGTTCTGTAGAACTAGAAGTAGCAGACCAAAAAGATCTCATTGAACTTGAAGTAGCAGACCAAGAGGGTTCTCTAGAACTAGAAGTAGCAGACCAAAAAGATCTCATAGAACTTGAAGTAGCAGATCAAGAGGGTTCTCTAGAACTTGAAGTAGCACAACAAATAGATCTCATAGAACTAGAAGTGGCAGACAAAAAGAATCTTTCAGAACTTGAAGTAGCAGACCAAGACAGCGCTCTTGAAATTGAAGTAGCAGACCAAGATAGCGCTCTAGAACTCAAAGTAGCGAACCAAGATAGCGCTCTAGAACTTGAAGTAGCGGACCAAGATAGAGTTCTAGAACTTGAAGTAGCAGACCAAGACAGAGCTCTAGAACTTGAAGTTTCAGACCAAAATAGTGCTCTAGAACTTAAAGTAGCAGACAAAGATAGCACTCTAGAATTTAAAGTAGCTGACCAAAAGAATTCTCTAGAAATAAAAGCATCAGACCAGAAAGATCTCATTAAATTTGAAGTAGCAGACCAAGACAGCGCTCTAGAACTTGAAGTAGCAGACCAAGACAGCGCTCTAGAACTTGAAGTTGCAGACCAAGATAGCGCTCTAGAACTAGAAGTAGCAGACCAAGACAGCGTTGAAGTAGCAGACCAAGACAGCGCTCTAGAACTTGAAGTAGCAGACCAAGACAGCGCTCTAGAACTTGAAGTTGCAGACCAAGATAGCGCTCTAGAACTAGAAGTAGCAGACCAAGACAGCGCTCTAGAACTTGCATTTGCAGACCAAGATAGCGCGCTAGAACTAGAAGTAGTAGACCAAGACAGCGCTCTAGAACTTGAATTCAGACCAAGATAGCGCTCTAGAACTTGAAGTAGCAGACCAAAATGGTCTTTTAGAACCAGAAGTGGCAAGCCCATAGCATGAAATACGAATAAAAGAGAAGAAAATGAGTACGTTTTAGTACTGGAAAAAGATGTTATACCATGGTATGCGTGGTATGCATCTTTAAAGATCATCTTCGATTAAATCTTTGAACAATTCACTTGGTTGCTATGGTTATAAAACTTAATTTTAGATAGATAATAAACAATAAACATAAACGCCTGATTTTTTCTTATCCTTAGATATATGTATCTTTTGTTTACAGCTAGGGTACCTTAACATAGACGCACACTATTTTGCACAGACAGACGCACATGTCGGCAGGGGCCAACTTTCTCCTCCTGGTGCAGAGGATCTGCTAGAGGTGGCTGGGCGGCTGTGTACTGCTGTACAGTATGGAATGGAGCACAGCAACTGGTTTCACTACAGGTACATTGTACAAAGTGTACAAAAGTAATATAAGTATATCACACTAAAGATGTAAATTCAAGACGAGTGAAAATATTCTTGAACATGAATGAAATTCTTACTTATAGTTGGACAATGGACAATGGACATGTACTCGTGAATATGCATACAAGGGTCAGCTCATTTTATGTATTTTTTGCACATTCACGGGTACATGTCCATTGTCCAACCTATAAGTAAAAAAGTGGCATGTCTGATCCACAACGATACCATTTTTACCTTGACCAGATTAACAATATTGGGGATATTGTCGATCCTTTATTGTCTCTGCAACTGCAGCTCCCACAAGTCACTTCCACAGAAAAGCTACAATTTAAACGAATCTAATTCTAGAAAGTAAAATGCGAATATCTTCAAAAGTTGTGTACAACAAAGGTCTTATTTAATGGTATTTAGTCTTCTTAATCTCGTACTACAACCTCCCATATCTTAACATAACAAAATGTGTACTGACTGGAAGTAATATACAGATATATTTAGGCTGATTTAGTTTCAATTTATAGCCATACTAAGACCGTGGAATTTTTTAGAATAAATAAAAACAAAAACATATTTTGGTTTTCTTTAGTGTTTATAAAAGTACCAGGTTTACCCCAAAAAAGATATGTCCTTCATGGACGATTTAATTTTTCAGGAATTTTGGAACTTGGTCGTATGAAGGTGCCATGGTAACTCGTGGACTTTGGGAACTTCAGGCATCTTAAAAACTTGGATAAACTCTAATATAAACCATAATTTTAGACTTGAATTTTTTTTTGGTAAAGCAGTATTCTTGAAATGGTTAGAAATAGAAGTTTATTTAAAAATTACTAGATAAAACTTTGCTTTATTGGTTTATAAAATGGCAGCTAGGATACCCTAAACCTGACCTAAACCTGTGACACTACTATCTTTAAGTAAATAAAGTTGGCCGCTATGTCTCTAATCTGACCTAAACCTTTGTCACAATTATCTTTAAGTTTACAAGGCTGACTACTAGGATACCCTACCTGACCTAAACCTTTGCTACAATTATCTTTAAGTTTACAAAGCTGTTTACCAGGATACCCTAACTGACCTAAACCTTTGTCACAATTATCTTTAAGTTTATAAAGCTTTTACCAGGATACCCTACCTGACCTAAACCTTTGCTACAATTATCTATATAATTTTACCAAGCTGTTTACCAGGATACCCTACCTGACCTAAACCTTTGCTATAATTATCTCTATAATTTTACCAAGCTGTCTACCAGGATACCCTACCTGACCTAAACCTTTCTACAATTATCTATAAGTTTACAAGGCTGACTACCAGGATACCTTACCTGACCTAAACCTTTGCCACAATTATCTATAAGTTTACAAAGCTGTTTACCAGGATACCCTACCCAAACTAAACCTTTGCCACAATTATCTCTATAAGTTTACAAAGCTGTTTACCAGGATACCCTACCTGACATAAACCTTTCTACAATTATCTATAAGTTTACAAGGCTGACTACTAGGATACCTTACCTGACCTAAACCTTTGCCACAATTATCTTTAAGTGTACAAAGCTGTTTACCAGGATACCCTACCTAAACTAAACCTTTGCAACAATTATCTTTAAGTTTACAAAACTGTTTACCAGGATACCCCACCTAAACTAAACCTTTGCCACAATTATCTAAAAGTTTACAAAGCTGTTTACCAGGATACCCTACCTAAACTAAACCTTTGCCACAATTATCTTTAAGTTTACAAAGCTGTTTACCAGGATACCCTACCTAAACTAAACCTTTGCCACAATTATCTTTAAGTTTACAAAGCTGTTTAAAACTAAACCTTTGCCACAATTATCTTTAAGTTTACAAAGCTGTTTACCAGGATACCCTAAAACCTTTGCCACAATTATTTATAAGTTTACAAAACTGTTTACCAGGATACCTTACCTGACCTAAACCTTGAGCCGTTTCTTCACAAACATCTGGACTTTTTCCTGGAGGAAGAAGATGAGTTCGGATACAGGAATGTTTTATCTAACAATTTATCATTTATTTCTCAACAAAGGATGAGACTTTAAAATCGACTGCACGGAATATTTTAAACGTATTTATTTCTTTGCAAAAAAATGAATAAGGCTGATCATTTAATTTAACCTAGGAACCGTCATATTTTTTTGTAATTTTTTGTAAACGTTTTTTTGAATTTTTTGTAATTTTTTGTAAACGTTTTTTTGACCCAACACAGTTTTTGAATTCATATGCATTTTAAATAAAAAAGTTTTATTTAAAACAAAAATCTAGAATACTTCATAATGAGTCCCTTACCTATAATGATAGTTCAGGTAAAGGAATACTTTCAAATTGTGTTCTGGTGCAGCTTAATATGGCTATACACTTTGAGAAAACTATGATTGGTATTGTCAGTCTATTTCTGTCTAATTTGAGAAAACTATTATAGGTATTACCAGTTTATTTCTGTATACTATTTGAGAAAACTATTATAGGTATTACCAGTCTATTTCTGTATAATTTGAGAAAACTATGATTGTTATTACCAGTCTATTTCTGTATAATTTGAGAAAACTATGATAGGTATTACCAGTCTATTTCTGTATAATTTGAGAAAACTATGATAGGTATTACCAGTCTATTTCTGTATAATTTGAGAAAAAATGATTGGTATTACCAGTCTATTTCTGTATAATTTGAGAAAACTATGATAAGTATTACCAGTCTATTTCTGTATGATTTGGGAGAACTATGAAAAATATTACTAGTCTATTTCTGTATAATTTGAGAAAACTTTTATAGGTATTACCAGTCTATTTCTGTATAATTTAAGAAAACTATGATGGGTATTACCAGTCTATTTCTGTATAATTTGAGAAAACTATGATAGGTATTACCATTATACTTCTGTATAATTTGAGAAAACTATGATTGTTATTACCAGTCTATTTCTGTATAATTTGAGAAAACTATGATAGGTATTACCAGTCTATTTCTGTATAATTTGAGAAAACTATGATTGGTATTACCAGTCTATTTCTGTATAATTAGAGAAAACTATGATAGGTATTACCAGTCTATTTCTGTATATTTTGAGAAAACTATGATTGGTATTACCAGTCTATTTCTGTATAATTTGAGAAAACTATGATTGGTATTACCAGTCTATTTCTGTATAATTTGAGAAAACTATGATTGGTATTACCAGTCTATTTCTGTCTAATTTGAGAAAACTATTATAGGTATTACCAGTCTATTTCTGTATAATTTGAGAAAACTATGATTGTTATTACCAGTCTATTTCTGTATAATTTGAGAAAACTATGATAGGTATTACTAGTCTATTTCTGTATAATTTGAGAAAACTATTATAGGTAATACCAGTCTATTTCTGTATAATTTGAGAAAACTATGATTGGTATTACCAGTCTGTTTCTGAACAATTTGAGAAAACTATGATTGTTATTACCAGTCTATTTCTGTATAATTTGAGAAAACTATGATAGGTATTACCAGTATACTTCTGTATAATTTGAGAAAACTATGATAAGTATTGCCAGTCTATTTCTGTATAATTTGAGAAAACTATGATTGGTATTACCAGTCTATTTCTGTTTAATTTGAGAAAACTATTATAGGTATTACCAGTCTATTTCTGTATAATTTAAGAAAACTATGATTGGTATTACCAGTCTATTTCTGTATAATTTGAGAAAACTATTATAGGTATTACCAGTCTATTTCTGTATAATTTGAGAAAACTATTATAGGTATTACCAGTCTATTTCTGTACAATTTGAGAAAACTATGATTGGTATTACCAGTCTATTTCTGTATAATTTCAGAAAACTATGATTGGTATTACCAGTCTATTTCTGTATAATTTGAGAAAACTATGATAGGTATTACCAGTCTTTTTCTGTATAATTTGAGAAAGCCATGATAGGTATTACCATATTAATAATTTTAATAAACAATTAGAATTTTGGAAAATATCGGAAATAATAATTGAAACACAGGACAGGTCTAATGGACAATTTCTTCGGTGTAACAATTACCATATTACCATAACAGTTTTTGGGTCTGACATACAACATAGATAGTATTTTATTCTAGTTGTTTTACCATGGATCTACTCTATTGGGGACAACATCGGTCTTTTCCCTGTTGTGTACGTTGACCGTCTCAAGTATGGAACTTTACAAGGTATTTATTTTATGTATATTTATAAATATATTTTACCCCCAATGTGCAGAAAATATCTTTTAAAAATTGGATTTATTTAATGTCTAGTTTGAGCTTTTGAGAAAATATTGTATTTGAGATGGATTATGTTTTGTATTTATAAATTTAGCATCAAAATGTTTGAAAATATATATTTACTGTAATTTCTGAAATTAGGTGGGCACACAGTGGAAGAAGATGTTTATGTTATTAGTGAAGTTGTGGAGAAATACATATATGGATATCCCTGGCATCTTCCAGGTTAAATATTAAATTATAGACACATTTATTTATTTATCTATTCATTGATTTGTTGATTGGTTGATTGATTGATTGATTGATTGATTTATCAATTTAATATCACCAGAAGGAGATAATTCATTTGGTGTGCTTAGCGTTTGTATGTAAATTGCACAACTTGCTCTAAACTTAGAAGTCTGTTTTTAGTGTAATAAATAGATAAACTAAGTTATTAATTGCTCCAGTTATAGAGTTTAACACGTGTATATATTTTCTACAATATTATTCCCTTCCTATCCTATCTATCCAACAAGATTTTTTCAAAATGTTTTTTCATGTCGTTAACTTCGTACAGTACAGCTACAGGTGCTATGCGAATTGTGATTTGTGTCACACAGAATTATTTATTATTGATTAGTCAATGAAAACATTTAGTTAATTTATTAATTGATTACTAAACATTATCTTTCTGACTATGCAAATTATTGATAACATTAAAAATTAAATATCTTTTAAAAAATTAGAAAATATGACTTCATTTCATATTCTCGTATTTCTCTTTAGACGGAACAATTAGCCGGCCAATCACATGGATGGAGGAAGGTATAGTAAATAATAGAATACAGAATATTTTTTGGGGGGATTTCAATATTTATTTTTTAAAACAGTTTATATAATTTTCAATAATTATTAAATATTATTAAAACAATATTTAAAGGGAGTGACCGGCTATGTAAGGTAGTTGAACTGAGTATGCAGTGTTGTGGAAAACTTCTTTCGGATACATTTGAGACATATTAAACTTTTTAAAGATCTGTAAATCCTGAGTTTGAGCGCAAATTCGACGTTCAAAACTCCTACTTTGGGAGTGGATACGTTTTCAAAATTAGTTTTTTTTAACATTTTAACTTTTGACACAATTTTCTTTCTTTTTCTTGAAAGATTAATGTTTTCTATTATTAGGATTTCTTGATATGAGAGGGGGAGGGGTATGGGTTGATGATATGCATATGGGAACAGCACTCCTAATTGAATATGCACTTATCAGGTTCAATTGAATCATTCAACAATATAAATTATATAAATAAAATAATAAATCAACAATGTATGAAATGTTTACAAAGATTTATTCATCTAAAAAAGTAGCCAACATATAAAGTAAAAATAATATAAAAGCAAAATAAAAATTCTGTGCAAACTTTAATGTATTTAATTTCTTATACTGGTATTTTCTGGCTACCAGTAAACATTTTTAGAAAGGAATTGAGTCTTTGTCACAAAGTCTGATTTTCTAATCTCTTTATCTTTGCTTCCTAATGTCGAATACCTTAGATATTTCAAACTATTAATTCGTTAGATCAAATAATCTAAGTTTGAAATATCAGATTTGTACACCATCAGCTTGCAAAGATGAAGGGATTAGATAATATATAATAGTATAAGAATAACATGGAGCAGAAATCGACCCATTACTGAACACTTAAACTACGTACTTAATAAACTCTGTGAGTTCAAAACTTGCCAAACCAAACAGATCGACATGGAAATCAAGACTCAAGAGACGATCTAAAAATTGTCTTTGATTTCCGATAGTTTATAGATAACAAAAAGAGTTCCTCATACGAAATTTTCAAAATGTGGTCTTCATTCTTTGTATCTTTAAATTGTCAGAGATATAAATCATTTGAACAATTTGCTATTTAATTGAAACCTGAAATAAATTTACACTATCTTCATCTTAAGAACAGTAATTTTTTAAATTATCTTTAAAATGGCATGCTTCTAAAATTGTGTTTATGAAATATTGTCTCATTACTGAAGAACATTAATACATTATAGAAGTCGTCACCTAATCCCCATGTTTATTGAGACACCCTGTATCATAATCTTTTAATATTTCAGTAATGATATTTCCCATCTTGTGTATGCTGGTCACCAGCTCCTTCTTATGTCCGCAATATTGCAGGTGTTGTTCTGTATTTCTTGTGGTTAATAAAATTAAAGAATTACTGGGGGGGGNGAATAGATAAAAAAAATATTTGATACTTCACAATATAATTTTAAATATTCAATAAAACCATTTATTTTTTTTAACATTTATATTTTATGATTTTACTAATTTTATATATAATATATCAAAGAAATCCAGCTTTGCAGAGAATTTATAAAACTTCTAGAGTCAGCTAAGAACATTCCCGTGGTTTTACCGAGTTCCTCATCAAAATTGAGGCAAATCGGTCAAGGGGGTCGGATATACAAACAAAAATTACTATTTTATGTATGTATATAACATTTAGATATTAGATATTAGATATTAGATATTAGATATTAGATATTAGATATTAGATATTAGATATTAGATATTAGGTATTAGATATTAGATATTAGATATTAGATATTAGATATTAGATATTAGATATTAGATATTAGATATTAGATATATTAGATATATTAGATATTAGATATTAGATATTAGATATTAGATATTAGATATGCGCCTGATTTAAGACAGAAATTATGAATTGTGTAGGATGAGTTAGGACTAATGAGACATGGATATCACTTCTGGACAGGTGGGATCAACTCAATCTTAAAAAGAGTGTCATCAACAATTCACAACAGTAACATTTAAACTCTTAAAGAGCAGTTTCAATCTTTGATCATCTCTTTAAGACCTAAGTATTTAATTAAGAAGACATTTTTATTAAGATCATTACTCTTGTTGCTTCTGGGCCAGAGGAAATGGCTGGGCTTTAGGAATATTTTTTTCAGATTGAAACTTAAATGCTTTAAATAGTCATTGAATTATTTCTTCTAATGAAAAATAAAATATTCTTGAAATCATAATAAAACATTTTCAATCTTTAAAAAATGCCCTCAGTTGCATTTACGGAGTTTCTGAGTGCAGCGGATTCCATGGATTTAGGTAAATTTTTAGGATATTTTAAAATTTAGATAATTCACTGAAATCCTGAATTGAAATGTATTAAGAAAATATTTAGTTTTTGATTTATTTCAGTGACTCATGATCCAGACATGTATATGAGGGTTATGGACCTCTACAATTCTCATCTTGGAGCAATTCTCGGCAGAAGGGTGATTTTTTTATAATCTTAAAATCTGCATTTTAAGGGATTCTCATTAATCAAAGTAAACCTTCAATGATAACCTTAATTCGTCACAATTTAAATAAATTTTAATGAAAAGATCAAAAATTATTTGAAATTTTAACATGTAACCTTTAATACATTTTCATTTTTTATACTCACGTCTTCGTCTTAAATATCAGTACAATAAAGACAACTTTCTTGATATCTTTCAAGGTTTCAAACAGCAGAAACACTTGAACATTTCAACAAAGAGAATTTGTCAATTGACAGCTTTCCTTTGTTTACCTGTAAATTTGTAATATTAAAGGCTTATTAGGGATCAAAGCATTTTTAATAAAAAGTAGTTTCATTGTAATTATCTAATCACCGATCACTGTATTTCTGCGTAGAATCAAAACTAGGAGCTACGTAGTCACAAAATCGTACTAGCACTGTCGGATAAGTTTGACCTTTACTCTCCGGCTAGTGTAGTCCCCTGGTCATCAATCAGCATTAAAGGCTGGAGAGGAATTTACAAAAGTACTGTTTCAGGGTGAGAACGGGTTGTGGACAAATATTCTAACAAACAACTCAACATTCTTTGAGACTTCAGCTTCTGCAATGTTTATGATGTCACTTTCAAGGAAAATTTCATTCATATTTTATTTGAAAAGTTTCTGCTTTAAAAAACAAATTGAAAAAATAAAAAATAAATTAAAAATGTGTGAAAAAGATGAAATTAAGTTTTCTTCATGTTTAGGGGATACAGGTAACTTTAAAGGGACTGTAAGCGTAATTTCAAGTTACCCTCCGGTCCATGCAAAAATTTCAATGCTATGTCTGGTCAAGCATAAATCAGATATCAATATTTTTGATCTTGAAACTGTTTATTTTGATTTGTGGGCTCTCTCTACAAGTGACTGGCCCATTTCTTACATAGAAGAAAGACTGGAGAAATTCACAGAAATAAACATTTTTCGAGTCAAATCAAGGTTTCAAGGGGTGCTGTTGTAAATCGAGCAGTGCCATCGTGGAGGGTCACTTAAAATACGCTCACAACCCCTTTAAGAAATAATAATTCATTTTATTTTTCTGGAAAATACATATTTTTGTAAACGTCGTAACGGCTAAACCTATTATAGGTCGTCAGAATTTCAAAAAAATTGCTTCAAAATTATTTATATATTTTTTATTTGAAAATCTGCTAATGTATATGCAGATCTTCCTTTTTTTCGAAGAGAACATTCAAAGACTTACAGAAAGATAATCAACAAAAAGCTATGATCAAAAAGATTTGAATCCTAGTACGTATACATAATGAATATTTGAACTGCAAATATTTTAAGAATTGTTTAGAAATGGTTGGATCTACGTGGACCAGGATTTTACTGATACAATTCTACAAACTTGGAACAGTTTATTAAACAATATTCTTCAGGTGAAACCAACGAGGTTATAGTATATAGAGTGATGATGTACGCTAATCCTTTACTACTTGTACAGGCCACGTATTCCACTTACTTAGTCCGAAAGCGTACTGCATATTTGATGTTTGTTATGTATTATCAGGCCAGAATCTCCTTACATCCCTTATCAGTAAACCATCTTAATTGTACGTGCTGAAGCTAGCTGAATAGCGGGGCAGGTAGTTAACTACCCCCCCCCCCTAAATATAACACTGTCTTATAATATAACACTGTNCCCCCCCTGGGTGAAGCAGGTTTAAATTGTACAGTGTGTACACTGCACACTGCACAATGCACACTGCACACTGCCTTAGCTTAACATTGTCTTTTACTTTGATAGCTAAACTATACAAAACTTTGTGAAAAAGCTTCTTTAAATCTAGAAAAAATCTTCTATTTTAACTAATTAAGATCCGAAAAAGGTTCTTAATACCAATCTACGCTATTATTGATAGTATTGTTTTAAGAACCATACATTTTAAAATTGAGATTTTGAAGGGATGTCTTTTTATATCTTTAAAAGACGATATGTCTTTCTCAATTCAAGAAGTTGTTATGTTTAGTGGGACACCCTGTAGTTGACATTTTATCAATATTTCTTGTCTAAAATAAGCTGTTTTATTTTCTTGATGCATGTTTATTGGAACACCCTGTAATTGACATTTTATCAATATATCTTGTCTAAAACAAGCTGTTTCATTACCTTGATGCATGTTTATTGGGACACCCTGTATATAACATTTCATCAATATTTCTTGTCTAAAATGAGTTGTTTTATTACCTTGATGCATGTTTATTGGTACACCCTGTATATAACATTTCATCAATAATTCTTGTCTAAAATGAGTTGTTCTATTACCTTGATGCATGTTTATTGGAACACCTTGTATTTAACATTTCATCAATAATTCTTTGTCTAAAATGAGCTGTTCTATTACCTTGATGCATGTTTATTGGGACACCCTGTAATTGATATTTCATCAATATTTCTTGTCTAAATTTAGTTGTTTTATTACCTTGATGCATGTTTTGTCCTCAGGATGGAACAGTTACAAACATAATCGGTGGAACAGGTGAAATTATTATATGTTATTTTCAGGGATTTTTACCCAATTAAGAAATATTCCAATTTTAAGGAATTAAGAACACATTTAACTCCGTCTTAAAGCTTAAAGCTTTTCATGAGGGCCAGACTGAATCTGAAGGGCCTTTATTATACGTTGCTGTTTTCTTTGTAGTTAGATAGAGGAATTGAGTCTTAGCCACAAACTCTGATTTTCTAATCCCTACATCTTTGCAACCCAATGACTGTCGCGACCCTTACATATTTCACAATAATAATTCTGTTAAATTAAATCATCTAATTTTTAAATATCAAAGTTTTATACACTCTGGTTGCAAATATATTGGGATTAGTAAATTTTAATTTGTGGCAAAGACTAGAAATTTCTTAATATTTGTTTTTTGAAAAAGGCGAAGCCATTTCTTATATAAACACATATTTACATACAAACATTTGTAATATGAGGATAATGAGGAAGGGTATATATACATATTACATAAATATATATATTTATCAGGTATCAATGATATAGAGGAAGGATATATATATATAGATCAGGAATCAAGGATAACGAGGAAGGATATATATATATATATATTGCTCAGGAATCAAGGATGATGAGGAAGGATATATATTTCGAGGAAGGATATATGTATATTGATCAGGTATCAAGGATAACGAGGAAGGGTATATATATATTGATCAGGTATCAAGGATAACGAGGAAGGGTATATATATATATATATATTGATCAGGTATCAAGGACAATGAGGAAGGGTATATATATATTGATCAGGTATCAAATCAAGGATAACGAAGAAGGGTGTATTTATAAATATATTGATCAGGTATCAAGGATAACGAAGAAGGGTGTATTTATAAATATATTGATCAGGTATCAAGGATAATGAGGAAGGGTATATATATATATTGATCCGGTATCAAGGATAACGAGGAAGGGTATATATATATATATATATTGATCAGGTATCAAGGATAATGAGGAAGGATTTATGTATATTGATCAGGTATCAAGGATAACGAGGAAGGGTATATATATATTGATCAGGTATCAAGGATATTAAGGAAGGATATATATATATATTGATCAGGAAAGAAGGGAGGGTATACATACATAATACATTTATATTGATCGGATATCAAGGATAACGAGGAAGGGTATATATATATTGATCAAGTATCAAGGATAATGAGGAGGGGTATATATTTATATATATATATATTGATCAAGTATCAAGGATAATGAGGAGGGGTATATATTTATATATATATATTGATCAAGTATCAAGGATAATGAGGAGGGGTATATATTTATATATATATATATTGATCAGGAATCAAGGATAATAAGGAGGTGTATATATTTATATATATATATATATATATATATATTGATCAGGTATCAAGGATAACGAGGAAGGATATACTCCAGAGAATACTGATTATCCAAACTCTAGTCCTGGGATAGGTGCTGTGCTTAGGTATACTTCATAATACTTATCATACACATATACTCATATTGGTAAATATATCAATATTTGGGGTAGAGAAGACCTTTTCTATGGGAATAATCTGAGAGGACGTAAAATTTAACTTTTTGGGACTTTTTACTCTAAAATTAATTCCTATTCCTTGTTTACCCTATTCAGTGAAATAAACAATACCTGAAACCAAAGATGTTAACATATGCAGAGGAAAAATAGGAGTTTTCAAGGTAGGGGGGAATAATTAAAATGTAAAAGAAACTGAGTGTTCGCCACAAACTGATTTTTTATCCTTATACCTTTGCAGCCTGATGGTGTTATTTTAAACTTAAAATATTTGACCCAAGAGAATTCCTAGTTTGAAATATCAATGGTCCCCGACATTGGGATGCGATAAGGATGGTCAAATCAGAATATGTGGCCAGACCTCAGTTTCTTTAATATTTAGAGCAACTGCTGAGGTCTCGAGGTTCCTGGCCTGGAAAGAGAAGTCGCAAAGTTGAACTCTATAAATATATGCAACTAGACGACTGGGGCAAAAATTATGCGGATTAACTCCAAATATAATATACAATAGTAATGCGGCAAATGTTTTGAAAATAAAATAATTTAGATAATTATATTTGTTTTAAAAAGATTGAAAATTATCAAAGATGCGAGATTTCAAAATGAGAGAAAAACTTTTTGTTTCTATCTAGTATATTAGTATCTTTTAACTTGGTGACTCTGCAACTTTGTAGATTATCAAGTTGGAATTTAAAATTCTTTTTAATCTTATTATTTATATCTTTAAAAAAATTGAGACTTTTTAACATTCAGTAAAAACTGTTACTTTTCTAGTTATAGGAGCTTATTAAGGTATAAACCATTAATAAATTGTTTATTATTGGTAACAGTAACACGAATTTAAGTTACCAACTAGAACCAACAAAACTGAAGTATTAAAGTAACAAGAAAAAAAGAGAAATCAAGTCTTAAACACAACATCAGATTGTTTAAATCCCATTTTTTTCCTAAGTAAGTACAGAGAAGTTTGTTAGATGTTGAAACTTGAATGTTGTAATACAGGTACTTAAAAAAGTCCGTTTTAAAAGATTTAAGTTGAAAATTATCTAAAATGTGTAAAATTTTCTGAAAACGGTGAAAAAAAACAATAAATCTATGGTAGGAAAGGTCAAATAATGTAAAATGAATTATTTCATATAAGAGCAGATAAGTCGCCTAAAAATCTAATTTTCCAATCACTAGATTTAGTACTGAGTAAACCATGATATTTCAAACTATTTTATCCAGCAAAATTTATAGCTTGAGATATCTCAGGTTGCCAAAGATTTCGGATTTAAAAAATAGAGTTTGTGGCGAGTAATACAAAATAATTATAACAATGAGACCAATGATGGACCAAGAAGGGACCCAAGTCCAAGTCCAAATACTAGAATAGCAATAAAAATTGTCCCAGACACCTCCTGCAGATCTAATCCAACCTTCTTTGGACCCAGCATCAAGCTAACGTTCCCTAAAATATGTTATAAAACAGCGTCAGATTAATTATATTGTTTTTGTGAAGATTTCAAATTCGGAGAAATTAAGTTTAAAATTGGAAGTTATCATGATTCTTATATATGAATGCCGCGAACTGAATTCTCCATTTATAATTTGTAATTTGAATGATAAATATTAAGTTTATGTGGGTTCTACGCTCATGGATTTGAGGCGTTTTTAACCATTTTCTCCTTACAGCAGATAGAAGTAAAATTTGTAGAGATCATAACTGAACTAAATTCGGAATCAGGATTTATATTTTTAAAGAATAGCATAAGTTTTGTTTTGTTAATTATACAAGGTATATTTGACTTCACCAAAATGTTTTATGTTTCCAAATTTTATGGCATAAAGATTCATAAAAAAGCAAAACCAATGGTTTTTTAACTTCAGATTAAAAAAACCATCAGAAAAACAATTTTTGACATATTAAAATCTTAAATGTTTGAAACGCGGCCCGGATCAAACATGCAAAGGATTTCTTTGTGGACGAATTACCTATGAAACCTCTAGAGATACTAAAGATACTAAAGATAATGATGAATGATAGATCAGATTAGAACAGAATCTGGACTGAACTAGTTACCTATGAAACCTCCAGAGATATTAAAGATACCGAAGATGATGATGAATACTAGATCAGATTATATCTGGATTGAACTAGCTACCTATGAAACCTCCAGAGATATTAAAGATACCGAAGATGATGATGAATGATAGATCAGATTATATCTGGATTAAACTAGTTACCTATGAAACCTCCAGAGATATTAAAGATACCAAAGATGATGATGAATGCTAGATCAGATTTGAACAGAATGTCAGTTGACCGATTCAAGGGAGCAATGTTACATCTAAATACAAATATTTCTTAGAACTTCTTTATACATCTGATTTACTGTTTGGTAACTCAAAGGGACTGTCAACGTAATATCATGCTTCCCGCATTTTTAAGAGTTACATGTTTAATTAATAACTCTAAAGAGTTATACTTGTTTAATTAATAACTCTAAAGAGTTATACTTGTTTAATTAATAACTCTAAAGAGTTATACTTGTTTAATTAATAACTCTAAAGAGTTACATGTTTAATTAATAGCTTAAAAGAGTTAAATTTTGCGGGAAAATAGGATGAAGATTTCTTTGTTTCTATTTGCAAATTGGACAATTCAATCTCGGCGTTTCTCTTCAAAAGATAAGATTTAGATCATACTATTGTGAATCTTGCAGGTATATGATTTAAAGTTAAGTTTACATGGTGCTTTTAAACTTAAACCATTTGTTTAAAACCAGTTAAGCGCATTCTATTTTATTTTTATGTTTATATCCAACATTATTTTGATGAATTTTACCTCATAACTAAGGGTATAACGCCACCTCTGAGTAAGACTGATACCAGCATCCCTATCTCAGAGTATTTTCCTAAATCAAAACTGTATTTTAAACTGATTGCTAAACCTAGAATTAGAATATAATTTACCTATAAAGTTAAAGTAAAAACTTATTAAAAACTATTAAACTTTTTTAATTGGAAGCCAATAGTTTAAACATTTTATTTGGGCCTTTTTTATTACAGACAATTATAACTCTTGATGAATAAATAGACAAATGCATGATATATAATTTTAGAAATATTAATAAAACCTATTTCTTTAACCTGGTCCCGGCCATTGAGTAAATGTAGCAATACTTCGACCAATCCAATCACCCAGTGCTTGGAACAAAAAACAACTACAACAAAATAGCAGCTACAGCAAACACAAAACTACACAACAAACAAAAAGCAACTACAACAAAATAGCAGCTACAACAAACAAAAATCAACGATATCAAATAAAAGGGAACTTTATTAAAAAAATTGTAACTACAACACACAAAAAGCAATTTCAACATTAAGAGAAGCAGCTAAAAAACAAAAATATAATAAGACAAAAAAGCAACTGAAACAAACAAAAGAAACTACAACGAACAAAACAAACTACACCAAACAATAGAAAATACACCAAAAAATAGAAACTACAACTAAAAAAATAAACTACAACAAACAAAAGAAACTAAACCAAACAAGAAAAACTACAACAAACAAAAGAGACAATAACAAACAAAAGAAACCACACCAAACAAAAGGAACTGCACCAAACAAGAGAACCTGCAAACAAAAAAAAACTACACGAAACAAAAGAAACTACAACAAACAAACAAAATACATTAAACAATAGAAACCACAACAAACAAACAAAACTGCAACAGACAAAGGGCGTCTATAACAACAAGTTTTTAGAAATGTATCAGCTGTTGTCCGAACAGTTTTAATGCTCCGAACTATATTCAACGAGAGAATGAGATATATAGGAACCTATTACTTTAACAGTTAGCAGCTCTGAAAACATTAGTTTTTATTTTTCATGTTTCATAGAACTGTCCTCAACTTACCAAACTGGTAGAAAATAGACTTCATTCCACCGTGAGGAGTCCTAGCATAAACATCAAACCATCATTGATTATAATTTAAACAAAAAATTGAAAAATATTAATTAACAGTTATAAGGGTTATTTTGCCAAAGAAAGAGAAAAAAAACAAATTGGGAATTTACCTTTGTCTGTTTTATGCAAATAGCTTGATTAAAGGGTCTGTACACGTAAAATTAAAAGATCCTCCGTTAAATTTGGACATGTAATGATATAAATCAATGAGTGTACTGCAAAAATGTTGTTATGGTAATGTTGTTCATGTTCCTGGGAAACCGGTTTGACTAGAGCAGCTACAGCAGGATACAGTGCAAGGGTTTGTCCATAATTTACAAATATAACTGGAAAAAAATTTTTGTTTGTCAATATTATATATATTTTTGTTACATATTCTGTTAAAGTAAAGTTTGACCCAGATAATTATAACATATGAAGAAACAATTTGTGGTTTAAAATAGTCCAATACATTTACCACAGAAATTGTATACAGACCCTATTTCACTTTATTAGTAAGCTGATCTTTAAGCTACTAGTAAAAATATTTACTTTTTAACAATATCAAATACACAAAGGATTGCGTTTATGTCGTCTTCCTATTCCACGTTTTTTTTGGGTCCCACTGTAGCAAAAATTCTAATTTAAATTGCATTTTGCTTCTGTTTACCTAAAACATAAATCCAGGTTTTCTTCAGAACCTCTAAATAGTCAGATATTCCTAAACAATTAGAAGATACAAAAGAAGATAGAAATAATAAAAGTAAACGTGTAAAAACATAAAGTATGAAAAGTACAAATAAAAGTAAATGCATATTTAATAGATTAGATTTATACTGAATTAAAAAAGTTTTTTTTTTCAAATTTAAAAAAGAAATTAGCATTTGAAATTGATTTCTTGAATTTTTAAAGGAAAAAAGGGAGTGGTTTATAGATGGTATGATAAACTACAGCAGGTTTAAAAAATACAAGAAACACTTTTCATAATAGTAAACTCATAACAAATATTCCAAAATTCAATTTTACCCCAAATGTGCGTATAGTGTTGACAATGCATTCATCATATACAAATACAATACAATCATGAATTATACCTGTTCCTTGATGAATGTCTTGAAGTCCAGCATGATGAGTATAGAAGTATTGGAAGCTAGTATATACAATACAATCATGAACTATACCTGCTGTTCCTTAATGAATGTCTTGAAGTCCAGCATGATGAGTATATTGGAAGCTAGTATATACAATACAATCATGAACTATACCTGCTGTTCCTTAATGAAGGTCCAGCATGATGAGTATATTGGAAGCTAGTATATACAATACAATCATGAACTATACCTGCTGTTCCTTGATGAATGTCTTGAAGTCCAGCATGATGAGTATAGAAGTATTGGAAGCTAGTATATACAATACAATCATGAACTATAACTGCTGTTCCTTGATGAATGTCTTGAAGTCCAGCATGATGAGTATATTGGAAGCTAGTATATATACAATACAATCATGAACTATACCTGCTGTTCCTTGATGAATGTCTTGAAGTCCAGCATGATGAGTATATTGGAAGCTAGTATATACAATACAATCATGAACTATACCTGCTGTTCCTTAATGAAGGTCTTGAAGTCCAGCATGATGAGTATATTGGAAGCTAGTATATACAATACAATCATGAACTATACCTGCTGTTCCTTAATGAAGGTCTTGAAGTCCAGCATGATGAGTATATTGGAAGCTAGTATTTACAATACAATCATGAACTATACCTGCTGTTCCTTGATGAAGGTCTTGAAGTCCAGCATGATGAGTATAGAAGTCAGTATTGGAAGCTGGAATGTATAATGCAATCATGACCAAGATCACCAGAACAGAAAAAGACATGCAGATCACTCCAATATTCTTAAGACCAAACATTTTCGGTTAAAATGGTTTAATTTTAATAAAAAAATACATCCTAATTTTTGAAATATTTTTTTATAAAATAATAATTGTAAAATAGCCTTAGTCCTGCCATTTACAAAATGTGGTCTGCCTTTTCATTTAGAATTGGACAATTTTGAGGTTTTATTTAATAAATTAAAATCTAAAAAAAGTTTTTAATATCTTTGGTAATTTTGAAAGCACCACATTTTGTGAAATAGACGGACTAGGGCTATTTTGTGCTTATTACTTAATGACAAATATCTCTTAAAGGGACTGTATAGGAAAAATGAAAGGGGGTATTGGCTGAAAGCTAATCACTTTAGCTCTTGATCGCGACCCATGAAAGTTTTATCTTATGTTCCTGTCTCGAAAAATTGATATAAAACTGTGTTAAAATTATACGAAAGTTCTTGTATGTAAAATTTAGAAAATCTTAAACTTAAATCACGTGACCAGAACTATCACCAATGGCAGAGCAGTATACTGGTCACGTGTCTCCGCCTTTATCACGTGACCAGTTTACTGCACTGCCATTGGTGGAATTTCTGGTCAAGCAATACGGACGTATAAATAATATTATGAATTAAATCTATAAAAAATAGAAATAACAAATATAAAATTAGAATTGGAGTAAACCTAAGTTACAATTAGCTTTCTCTGGAATATCTTCGTTTTCAGATTGGTTGCTTATTTGCTGAGTTTGATCTATTTTATACAAAATTGTATATATATTAATTTTCGTATAAATTTGACAAAGTTGTAAATCAGATTCTCGAGATAAGAACATTAGATATAACTTTCATGGGTCGCGATCGAGAGCTAAAGTGATTAGCTTTCAGCCTATACCCCCTTTCATTTTTCCTTTACTGTCCCTTTAAATTAGGTTGCAAATTGAATGCCGCAAACTATTTCTCAGGTCAAAGACGAGTTTAAAGCTTTATAAAAAAAGCACCATATATGATAATATAACAATGAAATTAAGGAATCATATTAAATCAAATATTTGTTCTAAATGTTTTCCTCTTGGTTTGATCCAACAGCAATTATGATTATATTAATGATTGCAGGGAGAGCTGACCCAAAACCCATTCCATCATTTGCACTGCCAATATACCTGTAATACAAAATTAACTAAATCATCATAAATTTTATCAAATAAATAGACTGTAGGCGCAATTTCTCTACGTGCAAAGGTGACAATGCCCGATTCACAATGGTACCCTTAACAATTTGTCTGATCAAGAATAAATGAGATATCAATTTTTATAATTTTAAAAACTAATTATTCTCAATTGTTGTTTCTCTACAAAAGTCAGTTGCACATTTATACGGCAGGAAAACATATATAGGAATTATAAAAATCAAACCCTAATTTAAACAACAATATTTCCTACAATTTTTTAAGACAAAAGATTAAGATTTAAGAATAAACTGCGCAAATTATAGCATAATAAGATTATTGGTTTCAGCAGGAGCTTAATAGGAAGATACTGATATTGTAAAATTAAAGTAAAACAATATAAAACAAGTCTCTGCAAATCCTCTTTATTCATCAGGTTGAACCAACTTAAATTATTATCCGGCTCGTCACTATAGTTTCAGTAGAAGTAAATATTTCCATTTACTGATAGCGCCGATTGAAGGATTTATAACACTAACTGGATAATAAGTTAGATAGAAAGATAGATGTTACCGACATACTATTTCTATTGGTTCAGAATAGACAACAAACACATGACTGAACCCTGATTGGGTGAGGCGCTATAATGGACTTGGCATACAGGAGTGAAAAAGCTTTATTGCATTTAATTATCCGTAAAAATTCATTTTTGACCAATATTCACATTATTAAAGTTTCAGTCTTTTAATTCTTATAGTTTGTGGGTAACCCAACAATTGTTCTGTGAGAATTGAGAAAATAAGACGACATTCAATCCTTTCTTGCGTATCCAATCTAAATCATTTTGGAAAATATTTATAAAATGTTTTTATTTGAAAACAAAATAACACTTAAACCCGAATCCAATATATTCAATGGTACTTTTAGATTAACAATGTAAACGCGCCGAATCAAAAATAAAATACCTGGGAGGGAAACGGCCAAGATTTCCCAGAAAACTCGCCTAAAAATAGTTTAAGATACAGGGTGTCCCAAGAAAAATAGGAATTGAGTGACGACTTGATCCGATAATTGATAGATAGATATGCCGTATAAAGTGAATCAAAATGTATAATGAGCTTGCCAAAATGTGGTCTACCATCTTTGTAACTTTAAAATTGACGAAGATATGAAACAATTGAACAGTTCTGTTAATATTTAATTAACTGGATTCTGGACGAATTTCCTAACATCTCCGTCAATTTTGAAGGCGAAAAAAAAAACAAAATTAAAGACCACATTTTGGAAATCCAGTTTTCGTAGTTAAATGTTTTAACTGTGTTACTATGAAATTTTTTATTTTTACGAAACAATCCCTTTTGGAACAAAGACAATATTTAATTCCCATGTTTATTTGGACACCCTGGAGTGTTGATATAGAGAAAGAAAGAAAGAAAGAAGATACAAAAGTGGAAGAAAATTGAAGGATACATGACCCCCACTCCCGTTCCAAGAAAAAGAAAAAATATTGTCTTCGTTTTTTAAACATAACTTTTTATTTGTATTTGATGATATGGAAGGATTTGAGATGGAACCATGTGTTACAGATTTAGGGAACTATGAATTTTATAAAAAGGATTGAATAAATTTTGTAAAGACGTCTCTGAAGTCTCATCCTTTGATGGTCACCCTTTCATATACATTGAAAATAAATAACCTGAAAAATTGCGTTAACTGAACTATAGATCGTGTTTACAAGAAGAACTGCTAGAAATAATCCATCCTGCCAATCATCTGTGTTTAACCCTTAAATATTTCTGAATACATGTCGTCTTAAATTTATGAGATTCTTATTCATATTTTCTAAATTTTAATTTAATTACATTTAAGAATATAGAATGGTCGGTTTTTATTTACTTTCAATTTAAAGAGAGAGTTCGCGAAAAATGAAAGTGGGTGTAGGCTTACGGTGAAAAATGAGCGCTTTTGATCGCGTCGAATCTTCTTTCTTTCTGTTGCTTCTATAAGGAGAAAATTGTTCCTTTATTCGGGTTTCGAGGATATTTGATGACGACATTTCATGACGACATTTTCACATTTTCCAGGAATGTTCGAAAATCCAGCGCCAGTGAAATATTTTTTAAAAACACAATCAAAAATATTATTAAAGATTAACTATATCCGAATGCGTCGAAAAAAGATCTATGATTATTGTTATTGATTATTGAATGATTTGTTTGGAATTAAATTGATTTTTTTACGATCCGAGTTGATAGTTGCAACTTTCTGGATTTTAAGGACGCTACGTTCTTTAGCATGAGTCGTTTTTAACATTTTTCACCTTACAGACGCAACAGATAGAAGTAAGATTAGTAGCGATCAAAAGCGCTTATTTTTCACCGTAAGACTATACCCCCTTTTGCGAACACTCCATTTGATCTGAATTCTAATTTCTTTAAAAGTTTTTAATTAGCAGTGTATAAATTTTTGTACATTTTTTAAGCAACATTTTTATCCATTTTTGGTTGAAATGATTAAAAAAAACTTTTTTTTTCAGTAAAAATAGATTACCTGAAAATAAAGTGATTATTGCAAACGTAACAACCATCAAGCAAGCAGATATCAACAATCTAGATAACTACCATTGGGCATTTCAAATCAGTAATTTTTGGATTTTTCGGAAATTTGAAATATACAGTACGGCCCATAAAACTGTGCAATAAGACTGCTAGACTGGAGATGATTTTGAATATTACAATCCAATGACTGTAAAAAAGAGACCCATTTCACTTTAAAAATTAGTTTTAAAGCTACTGCAAATAGTATTTGCTTTATAACAAATAAGATTGCCTAAATGTCGTCTTCCTCTTCCACAGAATTATGGGTCTCCCTGTAGTAATCTACAATTTATGACCTTTAGAGTTGTGATGCTGCATGCTGTAAGGAATATTGAAAACTATAAATTTGATTTGAAAACAGTTATCTAATTATTTATTTCATCATGTTTAATTTAATTCACACGTTAAGATTGGTATAAAAATGACACAAATTTTAAAGATGAAAAGACGACATTAACCTGAGTCTAATGTTGATCCTGTACCCTAGAACAACCGTTAGAACAACCAGCACTGTTAACGGTACATTTCCCGTTACTGATAAATATGCTGAAAAAAACTCACTAGGGCAAAACATATTTTTCCTTGAAATGAAAATGAGGCATTAAACGTGATAAATATAAAAACTCGCTTCTTTACACTTCATTTTTATTCAAATACTTTACTATATTAATAAATTGATATTACAAAGTACATATGAGGAATATCAAAAAAATGTAGGAAATTAAGGATGTTTTTGTATAGTTTTGTAGATTTTCATTTGAAAAACTGTTGGCAGCATAAACTTTTTATAATGCTTTTTGCCTTTATCTTCAGAAATTAATCTAAATTGAAAGTTCACAAATTTTTCTTTACATTTTTGTTTTTACCTGGAAAATTAATCTGCATCTCTGTAAGCTGATCAGTTGTTGTATTAAAAGGTATGCTGGTATTGCGAAACTTAAAAAATGCAGTGATAATTATTTTTGTGGAAAATCATCATACAAAATAATTGCTTAAAGGGATTGTTCATCTATTTCAAATGACTCATAACACCCCAATTTATATTATAAATATCGGGATTTTTAATATTCAAAGTTAACTTCACCATCAATTTGCAAAGAAATAGGGATTAAAAAAATTTAGTTTTAAAAAGAGGGAATTTACTTTAATCATATTTAAAGAAATCTTCATAAAATCCACGAGCAGTACCTTTAAGTAAGTAAGTTAGTAAGTAAGTAATTATTTATTAATGGAATATAGCAAAAACGTACAAAATTAAGTGTTTCAGGAGAAAATATTAAAAAAAAACCTTCAAAAATAGAGGTTGCAAGAATATTTCCCCCAAATTCGAAAAAAAGGAAAAGGAAAGTTACATATTTATTGTTTATTTTAATACAACTGGTGCATTTTTCGACGATTTATCAGAATATCTTTTCCCTTTTAAAAAATAAAAATTATAGACTTATCTTTAATAAAGTAATATGCTGACCTTGTAATACCAGAAGTCTGTGATAGTGATTAGCATACTGTAGGGGAACATGATTGTTAAACCAATATAGTAGAACACCAAGTACACAAACCAGAATCTATCTCTTCAGTTGAAATCATAAATATCATTAAAGGGACTGTAAACGTAATTTTAAGTGATCCTCCATCTTATAAGTATCTATACTAATTATAAGACTTAAGATAAAAATGTTAAATTTTAGTGTCCTAATTCTCATTTGAAAAAAGTAATGAATTATGAAAAATTACTTCAATATAAAAAGAAAAATAGATTTTAATAACCTTTTTGAAATTGTTAATTAAATCTAACTTTACCTTGGCTCTTTTAACCCTGTCGTCTCGTTGAACTCCATGTTTTATTGGTTCTGTGTTTGTTTAGAAAAACGGCGGGAAACAGATGTTAAATCCCAAATTTAAATGTTCATCTAAATAGAGTACACATAAAGGTACCAGCTGATAACAAGTTTGTAAACTGGATGTTGAAAGCCGGTATAAGGTTACAAATTTTATTATATTTCATGTATTGAATAAATCTGAAACTACTACGATTGATATCACTGCCCGAATGAATACTGAAGTAAAGTAAAGTGTGCACACAAGGTTTCAGCCTGATACAGCATTAAAGCACCAACTCAACTTAAACTTCATACAATTTTAAATGTACTCTTGTCTGAGAAAGATAAGGGGCTTTACAAAAAGGGGCGTACACAGATATTTGTAAAGGGGGAGAGGATGAAAAAATCCGATTCGTTTTGTTTCATCCATTTTATTATTGTACTCTCATCTAACTTTTAAAATGTCGTCGTTATATTTTCCAATTTTCATTTTAAAAGAAACTGTTGACGTTTTTAGTTTTTACAGGGGTTAAGAGACTACATTTCAGTATTAAGTGGAATGGCATTCACAACGGTACCGGAAAAAAACTTTGTCTCATCATGAATGATCAAGATATCCATATTTTCACAAATTAATTACTTTCAACTGAATTGATTTAAAAATAGTGAATTGCAAATTTCTGCTGCAGAAACAATGGAGGAAGTTGTCCGAATGAAATACTTTTTAGGAATACGATTCGGAATAGAGTGCTGGGGGGGGGGTAGTCTTCGGCCCCTTGAGAGATGGTATAATTAGGCTTGTATTCAGGAAGAGAGTGGGGGAGGGGATTCTCTATAGTTCATGCACTCTATTTATTAGATTAGGTTCAGATGCATTTACAGGGGTTGCAGGCCCCCATGGGCGCTGAGCCCCCGAAAAAAGATTTTTTTTTGCATTTTTAGCTCACAAAAATAATACCTTCTCTATGCTGCAAACCTTTATGATTGTCATGTTTTTATGATTTGTTGTATCAGACTTCAAATATATAAATTAATATATTTAGTCAAGTAGTTTAGCTGAAATGAACGATGGTCCCTAGTTTCTATCAACCTATTGCTCAAGCAGAGAAAATATGAGAGAAAGCTAATTTTTTACGGTTTAGGTCCCAAGCACTGTCAAATTTTAATGTTATCAGCTTAAGAAAACTTTTCTTAATGAAACTACATCTATTAGCAATTAGGCTTTGCTTGGTTTTGGAATCCATTAAGTGTCCTTGTAGTGCTTTTTGGGAGAAATCCTTAAACATTATGGTTTTACTTTAAAAGCTGGTATCAAGATGCACCTAACCTCATATTTTCCGCCCCTTATCTAATCTAACTATATATACTTATATTTCATAAGTACAAGATACCCAGGTGTTGGTTCATTACTCTGCTATACAGTAATTATATTTTATATTGCTATACATGTAGCCAAAGAGAATAGTATATATTAGAGTGGAATTTAAACAATCCCCTGGCATAAATTTTGTCAGTCCCTTTCAGCCTGAAAGGGACTCTAAAGTGTACAATTCATGTAAATGTTCAGTTTTTCAAAATTTTGCAAATATCTTGGCATATTTAAATTCTATATAAAAATGAATAATTTATCATAGTTTTTGCACTTTTTGTTTTTGCTTTTTTTGCTAAAAAACGGAATTTTGCAAATTCGCAAATTTGTTTTCAGATTATTTAAGTATAATTAAGAGCCCAACCTTGGAATTGCCTTTAAAATGTTTCAACGCCTTGGCCAATTATATACATTTTAGAACTCTAAAGCACTTGTTTTCAGCTTTAGATTTCAAAAAGTAATTGGCAAAACTCTCATCGCGTTTTACACGAGATCTTGCACCCTCTGAATCACTGTGGTTTGCTCATGAGAAGATAAATATAGAGAAATTTTCTGTAGAAACTCTTCTTAGCTCCCCTTTCAGTCCTTCCTATTCAGTTTTGAATAGGAATATTTTCCACTTGCATATAAAGGGTAATGGTCTGCCTTTATTGCTATTACGAGGTCATTTCTTTTTTATTACAAAAGTATAATTTATAATAAGGAAGCTAGGTTATTCTATTCAGTAGGTTCTGAATACAAATATTTGTTCATTAATTAACACATTTATAGAAGACATTAATTTAGTCCTGAAGTCTAAAAATTTACCCTTGAAAATAAATTCGTTATATTCTCTATTTTTTATCCATATCTTTGCAACCAGACGTCGTAGACGTTGATATTTCATACAATTAATTATATGTTAGCTAAAATATAGTCATAGAGTAAAATTTTAAAGGTTTACAACATGCGGTTGCAAATAGATATAATATAGGGATTAAAAAATGGTTTCTTTATTTTATAATTTGTTCTAAAATTTCACATGTTTATAAACAAAGATAATGTTATCTCACAGCATTTGTTTTTTTCCAGTTTATCTTTAAATTCTCACTTTGTCAATTATCTTTAATTGTAGCAGAAGTATATAGAACTAAAAGTTTCATAAACTATATTTTAATAATTGAAAAAAATGGAATCTTTCATAGAAATGGTTTATTGAAGTTTCTTTTAGCTAAGAAAACGACCGTATAGTTGTTCAATAAAACAACAATGTTTATGTGCATCCCTGGAACTAAACAATAGACTGTGTAGGTTATAGTTATCGGTCATCCAGGTAAACACAAATCAGCTGATACCATCATCACGTGACATTAGAACCAATATAGAAAAAAAATTACATATACACAATCACAAAACCTCTTAAATAGTTTTTAAAACGACTAAATCGTTATTCGCTATCATGCGTTATATACGATTTTGACTTCCCATCGGGCCATCAGCAATAAATCTTGCTCATTCTTCCACCCCCCCTTTTTCATCTTAGATGTATTTGAATCCCCATGTTCAGTATTCCTTCCAGGGAATTAACCAATGAATGTCACAACATTCTCCCTCAACTATTTCATTCTCAACCATTCAGCCATTGTTGTTATTTTCTCAATCTTGTTCCTCTATCCTCCATCTTGTTCCTCTATCCTCCATCTTGTTCCTCTATCCTCCATCTTGTTCTTCTATTCCCCATCTTGTTCTTCTATTCTCCATCTTGTTCTTGTATACTTCATCTTGTTCTGCTATTACCATCTTGTTCTTTTACCTTTATCTTGTTCTTCTATCCTTCATCTTTTTATTTTATCCTCCATCTTGTTTTTTATTCTCAATCTTGTTCTTCTATTCTCCATCTTGTTCTTCTTTCCTCCATCTTGTTCTTCTATTCTCCATCTTGTTCTTCTATCTTCCATCTTGTTCTTCTATCTTCCATCTTGTTCTTCTATCTTCAATCGTGTTCTTCTATCCTCAATCGTGTTCTTCTATCCTCCATCTTGTTCTCCTATCCTTCATCTTGTTTTATTATCCTCCATCTTGTTTTTTTATTCTCAATCTTGTTCTTTTATTCTCCATCTTGTTCTTCTTTCCTCCATCTTGTTCTTCTATTCTCCATCTTGTTCTTCTATCCTCCATCTTGTTATTTTATCCTCCATCTTGTTTTTTATTCTCAATCTTGTTCTTCCATCCTCCATCTTGTTCTTCTATCCTCCTTCTTGTTCTTCTATTCTCCATCTTGTTCTTCTATCCTCTATCTTGTTCTTCTATCTTCAATCGGGTTATTCTATCCTCAATCGTGCTCTTCTATCCTCCATCTTGTTCTTCTATCCTCCATCTTGTTCTTCTATCCTCCATCTTGTTCTTCAATAGAGACTTCTATCCTCCATCTTGTTCTTCTATTCTTCATCTTGTTCTTCTATCCTCCATCTTGTTTTTTTATTCTCAATCTTAAGTTCTTCTATCCTCCATCTTATTCTTCTTTTCTCTATCTTGTTCTTCTATTCTCCATCTTGTTCTTCTATCGTCCATCTTTTTTTTTATTCTCAATCTTAAGTTCTTCTATCCTCCATCTTATTCTTCTTTTCTCTATCTTGTTCTTCTATCCTCCATCTTGTTCTTCTTTCATCCATTTTTTGTTATTTTCTAGTTTTTGAATATTTTTTAATCTAATTCCAACTGTAGAAAGTATATTGATGCTCTCCTAGTTTCTTATCAATTTACAAATGTCATCTATTCTGCCAGCACATCACGTGACCTTATTTCCGGTCCATCCAGTACTTCCGGTATGGTTCAGCACTTCCGGCCCGGAGAGTACACAAAAACATATTTTCCATCTTTAAAAGCTCTAGGTTCCTAAAGTGGTACAGTGGTATCCGAAAAACTGCGGACTAGGAAAGAGGACTATTATAGACTCAAGTTATGAGTTTGAATAGTCACCTATGAGCATCAAAAGTTATTTTCAAATTTTTGAAAAATATCCAACATATCAAATCAAATGTCCATGGCTCTCACTCTAAAATGTTTATTAGCATTTTTTCAATTAATCCTTTTAAACTAAAGGTTACAAACACGCGTGTTTAATTCTAAAATATACACGTCCAGAGCACCGAAAGAAAGTTAATTAGTTATAGGCGTTGCAACACTTCAACACGGTCTTAAAAATGTATCCATAATTTTCATAGCTGTTCGAATCTCTGTGACCAATTAAATACCGGGCCCCAACTTGTAGTGTCGCCAGGCGTTTGAACTTTGTTTAGCCCATAGTTGCATAATAAGGTTGGTGACTTAGTTTCAAAACGAATATGAAAATATATCTGGCTTCTAAATAGAAGGAATTTAAATGTAAAACAGGAACTCCTACTCATGTAATTTGAAAATCTTTTAAACCACTCATATTTTCTACAAAAAATGGATTTTTTAGTGCTGGGGTTTCTCCTTCTATTCCCTTTTTCCCTTTGCTATTAACCCATCCTACTTTTTTCCCCCTTTTTTTGAAATTACTTTGTGAATTGTGTAATGCATTCGTTATTTGTTAATTTAAAAAAATAAAATGTATCTATAAAACTTTGGAGGGCCAGCCAATCAAAACAATTCCAGAAATGGTTAGGCTGTAGCCCTGGCTAATAATTGTTTAGTAAAAAATTATAAAATGTAAAATGTATTTATTATAATGTTAGCCGATATATATATCTATCTATCTATCTATCTATCTATCCCATTTCTTTGAATTAGTTTTTAAGGTCAAAAAAGGCCCAGGAAAAAATCAGTGATGAATAATAGATTTTCGTTTATTTTAGAAATTTTGGAAAATGTTAAAATTATTTCAAATTGTAAACAAGCTAATTTAAACTTACGCGATGCAAAAAAAA